GATCAGGGCGTAGACATATTGGACCTCCCTGGCTTCAGCCAATCCTATGTCTCTCTGTGTTCCAATGGCATGCGAGGAAGATAAGCAGCCAACCGGAGAAAGACTCGAATGAGGAGCAGTATATAATGAGCGACGTAGCAAGTGTGGTGGACTCTGATGGATGAGGCCAGACGTGTGGTTCTAATTTGTAATTACTTATAAACGGCTTTTCTGTTATTCCAGCCTCTTTCATTCTGGAGCTCGAGTTTTTTATAGGCGAGGGACTTTGCTTTTGATGACTTGCAGTGGGGGCCGTTTCATTCGTCGCATATTACTTCTCCCCGTGCAGTCCAACTACCTTCTACTGTTCTAATCGTTTTCTCTGAGTTGTCGATATCTCTTCAGATGCGGTAGTCTTAATCCCAGGCAATGTGCATGGATCCAGTGTTTGTAACATTTGATGGGCAAACATGACAACTCCAGTTGGCATTTAAGGGTCCTCGTCTCTGATGTCTATGGGAGGGAAAGGGCTGGAGTTTGATTTGCGTTATTTATGCGCGTCCCCTGCCACTGCTTTCAATGTGCTTGGACATGATAAAAAGGAGTATGGACTGTTAAACGGGTGTATTGGTACAAAATACTTATGTGCTTCTTCAGTATCAGGGTCAAGGTTTATTTTGGGCAAAGGTGTTTGCTTAAATAGTCTATCCGGATCGCTGATGTGGGTTTATTTGCTCCGGCTTGGCTTCAGAAATAGAAAGGCAAATGTGTGAGGTAATTAAGTACTTGGACTTTGGACTTATATCCGAAACCCCACTGTTCCACGCAACCGGAAATCACGCCAATTCTCACGTGCTGCCACCCCGACGGCGTGTCACTGGTTCTCGACCCATGGCTGAACGTCAAGATAGCGGCCCTCTGTCTCCACGCTACACCGCCAACGTGGTGGACTTGGATGGACTGCGTCTGACGTATATTTCTGGCTTGTGATTGGTTTTAAAACCTTGTCTGTTATACCAACCCTCTTCATACAAGTGAAAAATATCCCAGCTCTGGTATGAAGAAGACTGGAACAACAGGCAGGACCTGGGTATTACATTGGCCCAGCTACTTTGGATCACCTCTTAGTCATCCTATCCATCATCTTCATACTTCTCAATTATTGCGATTAGAAGCCCCGTAAAAAATATCGAAATTTTGACGCCTAACACACAATTCTAGCTTGTAGTGTCAAAATATAACGAGCTCTATTTTATCATGCCTTCTTCAAATAATGGTATTCAACAATGAAGCCAGCTGATGTGTTTAGATAGCACTAATCGAAACCCAAAAATTGCTCTTATTGCAATGGACATTAGAGTCGACGACTTATGAGAAACGTCGATACATTCTACGTACCCGGATTGAGACATTACTATTAGCTGAGAATATTCTAAATGTTATTTCACTTTCCTAATCCATTTAATTCCTAGACACTCTCCAGGATCCAATGCATCTTGAGACATTAAAAAACCAAATTACACCAGTATCTGCGGTTGCATTCTTGTTTTATTACAATGTCATCGGTTCCTTGACGGCTATCCGATTGGGATACCCTTTTTAATGCAGTGTATCAGAAAATTTCAAACTTGATTTTTTTTGGAAAGTCATTGTGACATTGCAAATGGCCAAGCTAGAAGATGGCAAAAGATTTTTTCACTAGGGGTAGGCGATGTAACGACGCAAAAGTGAGCAGGTATATTGGTTTGCGCCATCAACTCTGAGAGATATGATGACATCCAGAAACAAGGATTCGTGGGATGCACTAAATAATGCAATGTGCAGACAGTTTTTAAGTTCTCGAATATACAATGCCTGATACACAAATTCACCTTTTCATAAGTTTATTAAAACTGACCTTACTGAGCATTACTATATGTTTATGGGCTGAGGCATTTAGTAGTGGTTCCAAAGTAGTAAACCGCCTTACTTTATCATTCCAAACACAGGTAATCCTCTATATTAGTACTTTAAATGGTCCTTTATGAAGATTACCTACGAACTAGTTACCAACACGAAAGGGAAGTACTGTATACTATGATGTGAAAGTGGTTTTGAGGATGCTGCTTAACAGAACCAGAAGAACGATTCTGACTACTAGAAAGTTAAAAAGCTTATTCCTTTACATCCTATCAGCTTCTTGTGAGAGGCATCCGTCAATCAGCCAGCCCATTGCGCTTTGCATATTCTATCAAGCAGATCAAGAAAGCACATGGACGATCGGGCTAAAGGGTCAAAGCAGGTCAAAAGTCCCACATATCGTCTAGTTACTTCTCGATGTCGTCATTGGGTGCAAATTTAGGTGGCTTATGGTATAAATCTGCACCCTTCCCCAGTGTCCTGCAGAACTTTAAAATATCGGGTTTCATTGGCACCATCAATAAACACCGAATTCAGTAAAAAATATAAAAAAATCGCTAAAGGTTTACATGGAGCTTATTTTGTATTGTATACCAAATTTTAAAAAAAGGTACCTGAAGAATAATTAACTTTTATAACCTATCTTCCCTGCAAACTTTAAAGTAACAAACGAACGCCAGTTATATGCTTTGCAAAAGAACAGCCCAAATAGATCCTCAAAAAAATTAGTTCAAAATGGCAGTTTCATGAATTGAATTTTAAAGGAACCTTGGTATTATTTTGCATGTTTAGCATAGGGTCATGAACAATTAAGTCCCGTTACTAAAATGCTCAATAGGATAAAGTCTACCTTTTACTAACTTGGCCAAAATGTGAGTGCCCGTCAACATGCGCCCGCATATATATGTTGTGAGTTGCCATTCATGCATTTTAGAGAAGTTGTGTCACGCACGCCTTGTAACAAATCATACTCCCTGTAAGCACACTTTACATTAATCATAGTTTACCTACCTGTTATGTAACTAGCAAAATCAACCAGGCAAATAGAAAACCAAACTATTCTCCGTCAAAGATCTTTCTTATTTGTATTCAATGTTCGTCGATTAATACCGTTCTTTGTTTTGCGTGGTTGACAGTCTAAGTGAACGGTATAAAATTTCGAGGCACCAAATTTGCACGTATCACCTCTTTTCACAGATTCCAGCCCCGGTCTATTGTTACATTTGTGCACATACTGTTAACAGCCAAAAGGATTTCGATTATACATATGTATTCAACACTTTGTGAGCATAAAGTTTGTCTTGGGGATTTTAAAGTCCTTAAACACCTTTGAAACGTATAACGATTATGCTGATATTTTAATAAAATGGATTAAGATATAAATTTTAGGTAATGCAAGTTAACAATGTTGAATGACTTCTGAGAGAGGAGATTATGTGACACAGGGTTAAGGAAGGAAAGTCAAAAAGTACAATGTGTTTCCCAGGAAAAAAATTGTACTGTCACATGCTGACTCATCGGTGTATACAAAACTTATTTTCATTTCTTTAAATTGGTATTATTTTGTTCTTTTCAAATAACCTCTTTCAGTTTGAACTCTAACTTGTTATTGTTGATGGCTCCTGCATGTATTCGTAAACCTCGTCAAAAACCACTTCGTTTGTTCAAGCCCTCTTACGCTGCCCTAATACTCGCGAAGATAAAAAAGACCGGAAATTGAGGGGTATCGCCATTTACTGGATAACTCAAAGAAATTGTGGGTGTGTCGATTGTGAGTATTAAAGGTGATACGGTCTACGTAAATGAGCATAAACACAAACGTCGGAATGGCGACATAGACAAAATCTGCAGTGGGTGAATGAGCAGACAGACCCACTCCCTGAAATAGGAAAGACGTGTGTTATATTCGATGAGCAGATTGATGGCGGTCTGCCAAGACAATTCATTGCAAAATAATTAAAATCCAAATAAAATATTTAAAATCCAAAGAACCGAGGAAGTATTCCCGTAATTTGCTTCTTGATGGTTTTTGATTTAAACTTAGAAATCCAAAAAATCAAAAGAAAAACAGAGCGAAGGCAATCCGACTTTTTGTAAATCCAATTTTCATTAAGAATAGGTTAAAAAATAATTAGACTTACCTTGGTTCTTAAACATCATTATCATTGCAATGATTATCATCATTACTATTGTACAACCATTCCTTATTTAATCCCGTTTAATTTTGTAGGCGAAACATTCCGAGCTTCTTTAAAACAGTTCACAACAATTCACAAGTTGGGACAGTCACGTGTAGTGAAATGCGATATTCTCTGTTTAGCACAGTACGTTAGTAAGCCATGGCTTTAACGCGATTACGGTCGATGAACAATGAATCTGCACAAATCAGTATTTCATCAAAATTTACCTTTTGGTAAACATAGCAGAATATCAGTTGAATCGTACCATTTGGCACTTTTAGTCTTACAAAAATTACTTAAGATAAACAATGGAAGCAAATGATTTTAACAAAACAGGTAACGCAAAAATGTTTTGTTATCAACTTGACACTTCATTAACTTAATCTATTTTTTTTAAAAAAACAATAATCAAACTATGACGTTTTACATGACATTCAAATAGTGAACCAATATATTACCTCTTATTATTAACTGCTAAAAGGCCGTGTGTTCATGCGTCTATAAAATTAGCTCAAAAATAAAGATATTTAAAAGTTTGCCTAACTTGTAGAATGCAAATAATAAGCTTAATTGCATTAAAAAGTTTAGATGAATGGATGACCATCTATCTTAATTATTTTATTAATTATAAAAACATTTCTTTGGTGTTTCGTTTGAGAATGACTTCTGAAACAAATGACATTGAATTGCAACTGCTTCGATGTCAAAAAACAACCAAAACAGATTTGGATAAATTTTTTTTATAATAATCTATTTAATCAGGTTTTGCTAGATTAAGAGCACTTCTCTTTGTTTTAAGGTACATCCCCTTTAGGTGTTATTTTAATTTTCAGGCTCGTTTTGTGTGTAATTTTATTTTATTTTTGTGTTTCACTGATTTTTTAAGCAGCTACTACCTTGTCTGTTAGAATTTTTTTGATTCTGTGAGTACTTTATCTTTATGTATAGTCTTTTTTTAAAGCATTTTCATGTTTGCTTTGCTGTCTTATGGTTTGATAGCCTTGCAATTTAAATTGAATATAGTTCTAGTTTGTGAGCTACTTCAAGAAACGTTTCTTGCTTTGTCTGATTGTATTTGCCTAGGCCTTTACTTGAAAGAATGCTGAAAATGTGGCGTCTTTTTTCTTGTGCATTGTATGCGAAATGCTAATTAATTTGTAAAAATTAAATTGCCTTCTAACTTTTGCTGATTTTTTATGTTTTTATGTATTCTTGTTATTTTTCAATTGCTTGATTGCTTCTCAAGCAATTTGGGCTTTAATAGTCTTGTGGAAATTTCTTATGTGCCTCTTTCATTTTTCCTGGAGTGTCGCATTTGTTAGGTTTGATTAGGCTTTTCATTTTGATACTTCAAGTCGTTTGCAAGTGCATAGGTTATGTCAACTGGTATTACTCATTCACCTGATCTCATTTTTACCAACTGATTTAAGGAATGTGGTCGTATGGCGATCTTTGTATTTACAAATCCGCTCGTTCTGGTAACTCGTTTGGTTGCGTAAAAGATGTTGACTGCGACAGCAAGCAATTGCTCATTAGCCCCTTGACCCAGGACGACAAAATTGAATGGGTGCCTGCTGCTTATGCTGTCCCAATCAGTAGTGAAAAGGCGTTAAGTTCAACTGAGCTGCAGGTAAATCCTTTGTCTTTTGATGGGCGATGTTAGGTAAGAAATATGTTTCCTTTTTTTGTAAGAACAGTAATTATTTCCATGAAACGTTGCTTTTACTCCAGTCAATTTTTCAGCAATTGAATGACTCGTTTTTCAAAGCAAAGTTACAAAGTGCTATTTCTTTAGAGGATTCGGAAGAGTTGGTAAGTTGCTTGTATTGGTTTGGTAGTTTCCATATCTGTATTGTAGTTTTATTTTTTTAGCATTATGTAGACGAATTTAGTCCAAGTGGCAGTTTTTTTGAGTGGATTTCTTTGTGCCATATTTTAATTTTTTGTTCTACTAGCTTTTTATTCTTTTTGCGCGGAAAGTAGAGTCCAATATGGGGCTCGTTGACTGTCTTCGTATTTTTTTTTACTTCGGCGTTATCCAAAATATTAGATTGTTTTATCTTCTGCGAATAGATGGTGAAAAAAAATGTAATACCTCAAAATTTCCCTGTCTCTGGGGCCTGGATTCTGTGAAACGTATATTCATGCGGCGTCGTTACTTTAGATTTGTTATGTCTGTAGAAGTATTTTGTACGCAACGTCTTTCTAGATAAATTTGACATGCGTTTGTGGGGCTTGTCCAAAGCATTCGTGTTAATGATTAGTGTCCCATGATTACGTTGTAGCCGTATCTTCCCTCTTAGTCGACTGTGTTAACCGTTAAGGGGTTCCCTCAACTCTAGGATATATTTCTGAGAATTATAGTCAAAATGACTGGAAATAGCTGTCACTTCTACAGCACGCAGAAGTTCATGTCTGCCCCATTTCATCAGCAGATGACTTGGAATTCAAGTTCATCCATTCCAGAGTTCAGTAACCATCTTAATTGGAGACTACTTAAAATATACTTTCGAAATCGGTGCATTTCTTTCTTACTTTCATTGTATGGGATTTATCCCCATTCCTCGATTGAAACTGAACCTCATTCACATGTAATAAAGGTCCGTCAGTTCGCCGGAAAAGTATTTTCCGAAAGTGAGTCGGCCAAGTCGCTTTGGAATGTCGGGGATATTTGTGTGTGCCGGTGGAGAGAAGACGGTGAATGGTACTATGCCGAAATCGTCAAAATTTTTCCCAGCACACAGACATGCTTGGTCTCATTCCTCTACTACGAGAACGCGGAGTCCGGCATACGTTTGAGTAATATTTTCCCCGTTGATGCACCCGAAGCTCGTCTGGTAAAGGATGAAGATAATATTCGGATTGCGTGCGATCGTCTCAGGCGCGTGGTATCTGTTGAGGAACTGTAAGTTTACTTATTGCATTACTCTATTTACTCAGTATTTGTCAGTAGACGTTATTTAATTTACATTTAACTGAAGTCGTTTTCTCCGCCAGTACGTATAAAACAATCTGTCTGACGTCAAGCCTTCCCACTTATAAACCTCAACGCTTACTAAGTATTACTCAATCAACACAACAGTCTCGTTTTCGTTTAACCAAGTGAGCTTGTCATTAACCTCCGTCTTGAAATATCCCAGTAGTTCGCCTTGCATTCTGTCTATCAAATGTTTGTTATGCCTTATCGAGAAGTTGATGATAGAAGCTTTTTCAGGCGGATGTACTATGTTTAGTGTGTCTCTTTCATTTTTTGGGGATTCTGTTCGAACATCTTGTGATCGGAGTGAATTAGGGCAAGTCTACTTAGCTGATTCGTGCAGTGGATCTATTTATGTGGAGTTACGTTGGCTTTTACAGCGTTTCTCGTAACTACACTAGCGGTCATTACAATGCCGTCAATCAACTGACTTGATGCACCCATTATTGAGTGAGCGGGGAGAATCTGCGCACCACATGCGCTCCAAAAATAAATCCAAAAATGCCTCAATGGGGTATTTAAGCTTGGATTATGTCTCACCGCCTTTAAACTAGCCACAAAGTTATAGCAGTCAAATAAGAGTGGCTGTAGATTAAGCTAGATTCTTCTTTAGGTGTCCGCAGCTCGAATGCATGAGCACATCGGAAGCTGCGCAGCCAACACTCATGGACTCCGACAGTCAGGTGAAATGGGCGGGTGAAGGTGCCCCGCCGCCGCCACGGTCGGGTCCAGGCGAGCAGGAAGTTGGCGCTGCAATGCCGACGGAAAAACCAGCTGAGCAGCCCAGTCTGCCCGTGCCACCACCACTCGCGCTGCCCCCGAACTGGCGCAGTCTGCTGCTTTCTTCTTATGGCGACGACGAAACAGCTTTTCGGGCTCTTCTCACTTCCTGGTTCATGTGTGGATACTACACCGGGTATTTCGAGGTCAGTGAGGTGTTTTTCTGATCGATAAGCACACTTCATGTGGCAACAGCTTGTCGGACGGGTTTCTTTACCGCGCATTGCTTTCAATCAAGCTGGAGGTTTTCGTTGTTAGGGCGATGAATGGCTGAGTTTTCGGCATTGGGCGTTGCTCCAAGAGTTCAGGGCTCTTAAGACGACTCCTGAAAGTCGATTTCAATTTAAGCCCACAGGCATACATATGGGTCGATGTCGTCATTATTGCCAAATAGGCTTCGTAAAACAACCACATTCGCATAGAATTTGTGGCTTACGGGAATTCAGCCATGGTGTTGACGTTTTACTATACTATCTGGTAGCAGTCAACTGTTGACTGTGCCATGCAATCACCAATGAATGCTGGAAGTCGTTGTGTTGGCGGGGAATTTCGTTATCGATTCCCCTCGTTCAGTCCTCCTTTTTCAAGTAGACCTCAGGTTAGGGGGAGATGTTGTCTCTCCTACTGGGACCACTCTATATTTACGAGTCTCTGGCCCACGTTGCTGCCAGCTGTTCCCAGCTACCTTGCCACTCTTCTCTTCGAAAGACCGCATTAACAGGGGGCTCGCGTTTGACTCCGTTCCGTCATGAAGGGCTGAAGTCTCAATGTAGACGAAATCGCTTGCTTTTTCCCACTTTTCGACAGTTCTCTTGGTGTTTCCGACTCTTCACTTGAACCCTAAGGGTGCTCGATTTGGGGAATGGGACCCCAAGTATGATTTTTACGTGGACGTGTACGATTCGAGTACATTAAGAACGTGGTATGAACGAACAACGACCAAGTACGGCTTGGAATTCCTCGTCAGTGCCACTTTTGAGTTTTGGGGCGGCCCGCCGGAGATAGGCTGGCCTTTGCTGTGTTGTTGGTCTTGCATTATTTTCTTGAACTTGTGTTTTTTTTTTCCTTGTAGGGACTGAAGGACGGGAAATCTAAGTAAACTCGGAAACGCATTTCAGATCTAAACTTATTTTTCTATACTTTAGCTTTCGCTTAAATAAACTAACGCGCAATTTTCAGTCTTGCTTTATCGCGATATTTTGAGTGATGGGTTTTATTGAAATATAAGTTTGATTAATCACGCCTACTGCGTCACCCGACGCCCCCACCCGAGCGCCGTGTTATCTAGAAAACGCCCTCTCTATGGCGCTTAATTTAAATCACGCAAAGCAAGCTAATCAAGAGCTCTGGCTTCTTTTTCGCTCTATTCAACGGAGCCCACTTGCAATTACGCAAATGGGCGCCGTGGCGCACCAGGGTCACCGCACTATCTCAGTGTGTCACGAAGCCTCTTAAAAAAACTACGGTTTACGTATCATGCTCTGAATTTGTTACGTTTGCCCGTAACAAAAGAGAAGACCACTCAAATAACAGTACCAGGTCCCTTGCTGAAAGCTAGAACCGGCCTTCCCAGGCTAATACCAGAACAAGACCAGAGCTCGAGTAGAGAGCTTTATTCACGTCAGCCACGTGCAGAGTAGAAGTGAAATCGAAAGTAATCTGAAAACTAATTCAAGTCAAGTTTGACCTTGACTTGATAAAAGAGTAACAAAACAAATGTTAATAAATTAATGTAAGTAAAATCAGAAACCAATCTTGGGGAATCGTGGATCCCCAACAGAATTCCAAAGAGGTGTTGATCTACCAAGCATTCGCCAAGTAAGCTACTCTGGTTACTCGGATTAATCAGTTTTTGTCTTCAAAGTGGGGATTATGTGGGGTGACAGAGGTGTGTACCTGCGCGGTGTTTCATGTGGTCATGCATTTCAGTTGCTCACAGCGCACACAGTTCCCCATCAGGCTGTGCTGCGTCTTAAATGCCCCAGGGAGTGGTCGCCATGTGTCACGGTAGGCATTTCTTTGATAACGTGAGTGAGCAGTTTTGTCAATCCGGGTCTCCAGTTTCCGAGCCTACCTCTCTGATCCTGTGCCAGGTAATTGCTGGTTCAGTTATACGGGGTTTTCCAGGTCGTGGTGTGCTTGTCGACGTACAGACACAGTGCAGGGAGGGGGGATTTAAGCCAATAGGCAGCAAAGGAGAAAAGATAACAGAGATTAGATGCTTATCTGCACGAAATCACAATTTTGTGGAGTCACTTTGGAGGTTATGTAATGATAGTCTCTCGGCGTGTGGCAGCTTTCATTCACAAAACTGGAGTTTACTCAAATTGCTGGGGTCAGTCACTACCTAATACCTCTGTTCTTCATGTCTTTTTTAGTAGTACTTTTTGCTGGGTTGTGAGAATCAGTGTCCGTAAACCTTGAGCGGCCTAGTCGCCTGGCCGCACAACATGGGCTACAAATATGTCGGTCGGAGAAAGTGCTGTCGTGGAGCCACACGATGCTGTATTGAAAAAGCGTAAGGCCCAGCCTTTACGAACCAATCACAATTTTACTCCTGTTTGGGTGTGCTTCGATAGTTGGTTTTACTGCCGTTGTCTAGATCATTTCTACAATGTTTTAACTTAAGTTACCCCTAAAGTATGTTACGTTGACGGCAGCTGAAAAGTCCATTTCCACGTTTCACCGCGCCTGGATTAAACTCTCACGAGAACACAATCTACTCTAGCTTCTGAAAACTATGATCAGAGTTTGTACGAAGTTTTATTTCCTGAAAAATTCCTTGATGTAATATTTGATTTTCTAACTTGGTCTCCTTTCTATTACCATAAGGTGACCGTATTCTGCACATTTGATCCAAAAAATTGATTTTATTTGCAAGTATTGAAAAAATCGGGCAAATTACGTAAATACCATTCTTTTTTACTGAAAAAAAACACAACTTTAACCAAATGTAGGTTTTGTAATAAAATACTCGCGGTTTCGTTGGAGACATCGCTGGAGATCACGCTGTGTGAGCTTGGCAGTGACGAGTTGGCCCTAGTTCAGTGGTTCAAGAACCTCCACATACTCTACTGGGAAGTGCCCCTTGCGGCCGTTGCATTCTCCGTAGAACCATTGATTATCAACCTGAACGACAACGAAATAATGGTCATTTTGCATGAATTTGTACTTTAATTAAGTGCATGAACTTTGTGTGAACTCTCTTCTTTCAGAAAAAAACAAGCACTGGGTTGAATTATGCGCACAAAATAAAGCCATCTTTGTCCTAGAGGAAACCAACCTGGAACTTTTTGTCTTAGATTCAAGCCATTCCATCAGTCTAAGGTGGTGCCTGTCTCCTACCAACTCAACTTTATGCCTATATTTTAAATTTTTTTCCGCAAGGCAACATTGTGTAGGCACCAACCTGACACATGACTGGTTTTTAGGTACAGCAAGGTAACATGGGAGAAAAACAGGACCTCCAAACCACGATGTAACAATGTTGCATCGTACTCCAAACAGTTGCTAGTTCACTCATTCAAGTTAAGAAAGTGCAAGTACAAGCGAACGGTCCACATGTGATCGGGGACACGTTGGTGTGCAAATGCTCTTTACCTACTGACGAATCACTCAACTAAGTCTCCGGAGAGAGTTCTGCTGTGCAAACGTGTGGTCTTCGTTAACATCGTTTCCGGGGGTACGGCGGTTGACCTCGCAATTTCACAAGTTATTCATTTACCACACTCACACAAACCTCGTGTTTCACAATTTACTCAGTGTTAGCAACCCCCCAAGTGCTTTGGTGCCGCCCCCGCGTTTCAGTTGATATATTAGTCGACCTTTGTATAACCCGGGCCTAACACAGGTTTGTCATCGATGTGACGAAGATTTCTTTCGGAATGTACCTTTGCCTAGCTCTAAGCCACTCAACCAGACATTTACGGAAACCGGAACTCAGCCAAATTATACCTTTATAACTCGCTGTTGGTGAAAATGGTGACAATGAAAGCTAGTGGATAAAAAAAGACACCGAGTATTTATCTGCATCATTCGGTTCGACGATGCCACCCTGTTTCATCTAAATCACAAGGTTTACCGGTTTGAAACAAGGGGAATCGGTGTGTGACACTCTGGATTTCCATGTCGCTCGTTATTAGGAGAAAAAATAGTGCAATGGGATATAAAACCTGTTGAATGATGGTGACTATGTCGCCCTTCTGAAGAGGTAGGTCGTCGTCGGTCTCGGCCTCGAATTCGTACAGGGCGCGGCATCGTCCAGTTTTGGCTCCGGCGTTACTGCTGTCTACAATGGAATGCAAATTCCATGAGGGCAGGTGCGTGGAGGAAAATGCGGAGGCGTTTTGACCTCGGTTTCTTCCCTCCTCGGCCTAGTCACTAATCGAAGCCGTGATTGGTCGAATTTAGGTCGATACTTCAATCTCTGTTCCGAGGCTGTACTTTAATGTCTGGTTGCAAAATAAAACTCTGCTTTTTTTGCAGATTAAGTTCAAACATCAATAAAGCGTGTTAGTTGTTGGTGTCAGTCAAATTTTGCTCTCGCCTTCACATACTTGTAGGATACCTCGTGCATCTTCCTCCCCTTGAACCGCAAACATTCCTATGGATTGGCTCTTCCAGATCTGTGTAATTAAGACTGTTTCCAATTTAACCATTTCACGCTCATGAAAAATAAGCCGAAGTGAATTAATGATGACATGTCTGTTTCCTGTCCAAATGAACATGCCGCTTCCCCTGTCACAACCTGCTAGTCTCCGCAAACTTTTCGTGCATGTAAGTCAGGAAGAAAACGTAACTTATGTCTTTTTGTGCCCCTAGTTTAAGAAACCCCCAAACTTTCAGTTTGATGGAGACCGGTGGCTTTAACGTGAACGAAATCGAGGGAGAAGACATTCGAATTGGTGGACACAAATTCTCTCGCCGTCACCGCTGACAAGCAAACAGTTATGAAACGAGTTGCTCTTAGTTTTTAAATGCGCATCGATACTTCCGTGTTTATACGAATTCTTACTCATTCTGCTTGCCTTTGGATGAACCGAATTCGAGGTTATGTAGCTAACGAGACATGCAACACTACCTCGCAATCAAAATTCACCTACGTTTAACAATCTTCTCTAGCGTCAGTTTTTTTCTGGCAGGGTCGGTCGCTGTTCCAAGCCACATGTCTCGGATATTGCCATGTGGCATAAGGTTAGTCCTTTTTACTTGCATTATTTACTATCGTTTTCTTGAGCTTGTGTGATTTTAGTAAGTAAATTCTTTTTTTTAAAGAAATTTGTCATGAGTTCCTGCTGTACTTTTAATTGTTCTGTTTTGACTTCACTAATGAGATGACAAGGTGACAAAATTTACATTTTTGTCGGGTTTGTGCGGTCGCCGACAACGACAACGTTACTTTCGAGTTGGCGGCCGCTTTGAGAGCGATTCCGAATGGAAATGGACCCTAGAGCACGCAAAAGTTGTCGTTTTGTGGTCGATGCTCAGGAAATCAATTATTGGCGCATTGTGCGTCTCATTGTGTTTACGTAAGTGACTTAGCGTCCCTGTCTGTCATCGTCTGTCTATTTTTAATCTCATGACACTACGAGTTGTATAATAATGCAGCGTTAAATCCATGCGTGTGTTGGCGCTGTGGGAATTTTATCCGCTGCTAATTGCTCTCACAGAATCGTATAATTGAAGTGCGCCAACTCAACAAGACTTCAACAGAAACGAGTTGATCGCAAAGGGCAACAGTGTGACAGAGCTCGACCACAGCCTGCACAACTCACTTAAAATGGCCTCTTGGGAGATTCTGACGCGTCCCCTGTACAGTTCGGATCTTGTCTCGTCTAAAAACCACCCTCATTAGTAGCGTTCAAGTTACATGTTTGACTTAAAAATCAACAACAGTGAAGGTCTTGGGAATTGGCTTGATAAATACCTTGGGACTAAACTAAGAGGCTTTCGACAAAATCGTATTTTCGAATTGGCAGAACTGTGTGAATAGGTCGCGAGCAACTGCGGAGAATGCATTAGTGAGAGATCCGTCAATTTTATCCAATTTTTGTGCAAATAAAAATAGATATAGTCGAAAAAATGGACGGACTTGAGCCTCAATCCAGCACGTATGTCAATGTTTCCAATTGTAAGCTAGTTCTAGTGTTTTCATTGAAAACCGCATTTCGTTTTGCACTTTAATAAAACGAAGCGCTAGTGATTTGGTTCGCAATTGGAGCGGGTTGGTCATGACGTAGAATTCAAAAAGTGTACTTTCTAAGTTCAATCGGAAACTCACAATTGTCGTGTGATTCATTTCTTTTGACAGTGGCAGTGAAACCGAAATCGGATGTCATTTGACTGCCTCCCTGAGACACTCCGTACTCCCCGAAGTTGTTCAGTGTTGATGGTTGATTTTCTACATTGTAGGTCGCGTTGCTCTGGCTAAGGGCACACATGAGGAAGTTGCTTAGACAAAAAGCATTTCTGGGTTCGTCTAAATAGCCTGCAAACACCTAATGCGAGGGGGCAAGCACTCGTACGTGAGCAACAGGGTAAATTAACTGTGGTCTAATAAATGGGTAACTACTAGAATTCAATACTCTAAAGATCACTCCACAGCGCTAAACTGCGAAAATCTGTTGGCACAAATTACAACTACGAGAGGTTGCTGGTGTCTTCAACCATAAAGCTCTCTGTGACCTATGGGCCAATAAAATAACTTGTGCCAGACATCGTGAAATTACTTTCAATAAACACAGAGCTCAGTATAACCACTAGGTCTTCGAAACTAGGTTAAGTGGAGGTATAGAATAGATGACACAAAAGGTGTAGAATAAATTGGCTTTTTATAGTTATCAGGAGATGGAAATGTACGTGTGTGAAAGGCAATCGAAATCCCTAACACGTTAAATCCTTTCGCAAATGTCAGCCACGGGGATATTAGAACATACATAGCAAACATGTAATGTTCATGTCTTGTTTGTGCAGTTAGTTGTAAGAACGGGAAGTTTAGTAAGGGGCCGGTATCTTGTCAATATGCTGTTTTAAAAATTTGGTTTCATAATTTGGCAAAGCCAGCCAATCAAAAGTGCAATCGAATAGCCCGAATTTCATTGGATGTGAGCCAGTTATGCGACCGCTACGGCGGACTTATCAAAAGCGTCCTGGGTTCAAGTGTTCTGGAACCGAGAATTGCCTTTTGTTTCCCACCAAATATTAGCAATCTGCAACGAATGATTTGTGGGGTGGTAGGGTACTAATATGACTTGCGTTGCTACTGCTTTTGAAAAGATGTCTACTGTAGAGTTCGAAGTACCTGTCGATTGTAAAATAACTAGTACGGACGAATTTTTTGGTGCATAACAGCAACAGTCAAAGCGCTGACGAGTAAGCATCATGCTGCTTACGAAACATCGAGATTCAAGTTGTCACCGTGAGAGTTTTAGTGTTGAAATACGCCGTAGCTACCAACGCAAGTAAAGGTAACGTGTGCAGCGAAAACCCACGTGCTAAATCAGCTCAGGCCCACACGGAACTGGTTGCCTTGGTGATGTGCATACGAGAGCAAGTTTTAGCATAACATGTTTGACACATAGAAGCCTCACCCCACACACAATTAGATCGATGGCTAGAATTGAAGTAATCACACAGCACATGCAGGATTGTGACAAATGCACCCTCGTGAAAACCGTTTACTCAGCTAACTTCGCACTCACTCAACAAGTCAGAATGACCTCGAATCGTGAACTAGTTGAGTTTCGGTGATCATTGGGTGCTTCCCATCACGTGCTAACACCGTTGCTCCAACCGATCATCTAGGGGAAGTTACTTGAAAATCTATCGTAAACTGCAAACCTGACTGTGTCAAAATCAAGGAGGTGCGTTAAATGAATTCTTAGGTAGGAAAAATAAACAAATCCTTATAAAAGGTATTGACGATTCAACCAATCCTTGCATTTACCTCCAAGTTAGTCTACTTGTAGAAAACAAAAAAAATTAACAGCAGTATAGCCCAGACATGTTAAGTGTAATGGCCAGCTTTTCCTTTGCGACAAGTATTAAACACCTCAACGAAGTGGATTTCAAAGATTTGGACAAAGAAGTACCCAAGATATTTGCATAATTGATACTTTCGGATACAATTGGGGTAAAACCACGGTACATGTGCCAGGAAGCTGGCGTGCAAACAGACACTGCTAACGATGAAAAATTGCCCACGTCTTGTCACATATTTATTTAGTGACTATAAATGTGCAACGTTGAATAGAAATGATGTAAAAAGGCAATAATTCGAAATAAACATTTGGATAAATCAATCAATGATGCACTCGCCATCATTTCCCCCATATGCAAATCACCGTTTACCAAGCCCTTAAATTGTTTCATGGTAAAAACAGCGTGATTTTGCCAAAAAGGCAATCGATTTTTTTCATTTTTGCTATTTGATTTACTTTGAAAGTATCGAAACCGATGAAAATCTGATGGCTCAAGGTCATAGAAATTCAGCAGATGCTGTTTAAATAATTCCCAAGTTAACGTTGGTGCTGTATTCCTTGAGCGGCTTATGATCTAGAGTGGTCATGGTAGAAGAAAATGCCTTTTGATTGGCCATATTTGAAAGTCTTGCTGGGATTTTGACAATGAGTTGAATCGGTTACTCACAGTACTTGTCGACAGCCAACGATTGTACACGTGGAATCAGCTTGCGCCAGACTCCTCCTCTACAACGCCTCTCACTAGACATACAGTCACAAGTTTACGAGATGCAACTAATCAGCTTCTGCCACCGCTTCTGCCCTTTCATTGCCATGCTTCCAGCACCTTTTTCCTATCAAGGTATCTTGCACGAACTATTTATCTTTTCTGGTTATGACGTGATGCAAGCAAGGCGACGAGAAAAGCGACTGTGGAAGTGCGTTTCACCTAGTTGCGTTCCGTCAGAATGTGTAGGGTGCTTAAATGGAGATTTGAGGTGTGTCCCAACAGTTTGATAGGGCTAAATGTCCAGAGCAACGTCTGTCTTTGAATTCGAAGTTAAGTTAGTGGGCTATTCAAATGAAGGCTGTGAATAGGTGTGTAAAAGTTTTAATGCTCGGTTCAATCACAAACTGACGTGACGAAAATGAAACACTTCGGCAGCTATTTTAAATATAAATCCTGCACACGAATTAATTTTACCATTTATCTACCCATTAAATTAGAGCTCGAACTTCTGCATTAACTCAATACATCGGTTTAGGTTTAGGTTAGAACCGGGTTTCGGATGCTTGATGGCTTACTAAAGTTGAATTTGTTCCAGCACTAAGGCGAACTTAGAGTCTGGGTACTAATAATACTGTGCAAAAAATTCTCCATTAACAGAAAGTGCCATCCGGGTCATGAGACATGGGTGGTGCCGCTGGATTCCGATTACCTTTAAAAGTCACACTTCACAGTGTGACAAAGGAACTTTTCCAAATAACAGCGGAAAACCTTTCAATCACCGCCATTTGTTACCAAAACAACCGAGACAGTAATCCTGCAGAAGACGTGAAGGGCTGTCCATGAGCAACGTCTGGTGTCTTTTTTGATCAAAAATTTGCAAGGCACAACCTGTCTGTCTCGTGCTTTTCCTCACTTGACACATCGTTTGAGTTGTGATATTTCGCACACCAGACTTGTCGTAAAAGGATACTTGAAATGGTAAAAATGGTTACTACTTAGGAGTGTGATTCAACCAACTACCGATTTACGTGACAGATATGGGTCATAATCAACTTCATTTAAAAAAGTGTGCAAGAAACATATTTTGCAATGAACGAATTAGACTTACATTGAACTTAGTTCCTGAACCAAATTTTGAAATGCCTCCATAGCCTTCTTGTAATAATCTAATTGAATTTCGGCTGCCGACTGAAGGACCAACAGTCTCTTAGGCTAGAAGGGAAAACTTATCAGCTCATTTTGCGGACAAATTTTACAAGGTGTTGCCTTCCTCCAGCATACCTCATCCCGCCTGAAATCTGAGATAGCATTTTGGAGTCGTGTGTTGGCTTCTGTGTGCGCTCTCAAGGCTTTCTCTCTCCGTTCAATCGACGCCTGGTCACCTAAATAATTCGAGGTGCTAAATTAAGCCAGTCTTTTATTAATAGTCTCCAAGGGTGGTGCGTATTTTATGATGCAGTCAAGTAATTTCTTCTACAAAGTACTACCTGGAGCCACATCTCCATCCTGGCGCGGTTAATTTTAGCGATTACACCCCTTAGTGAACCATACAAACTTGGTCAAACCCCAAGCTATTGAACGAGTACAGTCCTTGATAAAAAATGAGCAAGTATGCTTCAATTTTAATCTACATAGAAGCACTTTTGCTGCACTTAATTACGTTTTGGACATAATCACGCTGTTTCTGGTTAAAGTCTGCCAACATAGTACGCATTCTAGAACCAGTATCTTCTTTTTTGCAACCTGCAAATTGTCCCGGTAAAAGTGTTCATCGTGGAAAGATATCGACAACATTTTTGAACTTTGTCTTCTAGAGAGTTCAGTTCTGATTTATTGCTAAAGCATCAGAAGTGTACATTGGGGAAAACGAGGTCGCTCTTTTTGTAAAGTGCTAATACGCCTCACGGGAAACGATTGCCAAATCCTAGTAACCTTAGAGAGAGGGACTGGCGCTTTCGAAATAATCAAATCATGGGTTGAGTGCTACAGCACTACTGCAAGCACGCCATTCAGCATTAAGGTCATAGAAACCGTTATTTTTAATCAATAACTAAATATAACCTCGTAAGTTCCATTTTTCTGGTTTCAAAAACTAATTTATACGCAGGAATGCAGTCAAGATAGGTAAAAAAATACACTTTTTCTAAAGTAGATGAAATTTAATGCCTTATTAGGGATTTTGAAATGATTGCTGCGAATCGTATACTCCTTATTAATGTATGGTAATTAACTTATGTTACGTTATTATAGGAACAAATTGATGACAAATCTTATGAAAACTTTTAAATTTTGAGATAACCAATGAATGGCAGAGAGCAAGTACTTGACTCAACTATGTTAGAGCAATGATAGTCAAAGCTTGTAGGATTTAAATAAGTTGTGGTTCACCCGCCTTGAATTGTTTTTGACTTCAACAGGGAATCGTTGCAATACTTTCGAGCAGAGTGGGTGCATTTAGGAAAGCGTTTGACGCTAATACGTCTTGGCCAATTTTAGCTAGCAATTAAGTGATCAGAAAATACACGTGTTTGGCTACTCTAATCATTGGCAATCCGATGAGATGACAGAATGAACCTAAGGTACGTGAATGTATGACTGTGTCCGAGTAATATGAAATCAATTTCCGAAGAATTTCAGCGTCGAAAGTAATACGAATGAGAATTCCGTTTCCAAATATTGTGTGCTGTCACCACGACAGTCGTAGCTATGAGATTCCCTTTAGTTAAAAGCTCATGTGACCCGAACTTGACCATCAGCTGCCGTGCTGACTCACACACGAAAGAAAAATGAATTTTTTTTCAAAATGATAATAGCACTATAAGTCGAAGTTATTCTTGTTTAAGCGCAACAAGAAGAATATGGCTGATTGGCAAAGCAACGAGCGTCCACAACTACCACTAACGAAGAGAAGGGCATCTCACAATTTACGGAGACAGGTCTTTGTAAGCTAAGCCTACCAAGTTTTAACATTACGACTGACGTACCAACGTTATTTCTATTCTTCTCCGCAGCAGTCAACTCTCTTTGAGCGTCCGAGCAGGTTTTTCGAAGTTTCTGTGGATGAAAAATACTCGAACTTAAAACACAAGTCACATCAGCAGTGTTGTAGGAAGCATTTTAATAAATAAAAGCGTGAACATTAAGGAAAAACATTTTCCTAAACGTTGTCAGGTTTCGTGAGTATCAAATACATGGCTGAGTAGAACTGTAGAGTAAAATGAGCCACATGGTACAAAAAGCATCGACTGCCAACAACCGTTTCTCACATTCTCTTTGGATTAGATAAAAAAGCTCCTGTGGAGGCTAATCGTTGATAATTATAGCGTTAATTGTGCCTAGTAATTTAAAAATAACACCTGGGTTAATTACGCCTTGTAATTAGGTTCCATTCAATTTCCCACAAAATAGATTACGTCAATTTCAACACTTTTGTTTCAGAATTTTTGTCGAGAGGATACAGATGACATGTGCGCATTGGCCAGTGGGTCTTTTTAGTAGCCTGACAAATTGGACTTTGGACTTCATGGTCATGGACCTGAATGGCACTAGAACAAGCATCGTTCAGTTTAAATACCTATTTTATTAACAAAAAAACAGCACATTCGAGATAAAAATACTAAATAAAACCTTTTTGCTTTCGGCAATCCTTATTTCATAGTAAGTGTAATACCTGGTGAATGCACTACGTTAGTGATGGCCTTCGAGTAATTTCTAAACCGAGGAATCTGTTTTGGATGTGTGATTATTGGTTTCTTGATGAACTAGTTTTCTCACATAACAAGGTCACATTTGTCGTTTAAGTCCACAGAAAATTTGGGTGATTTTTTGGTCGTTCTTCTTTATGAACCAAAACAAGCACTATAGGGCCGGAAAAGTGAGGAACGAGGAATAAACCAACAAAATCTGGACCAAAATTTAATTAACGGTGATAAATGAACAGAAACCTGTAAATTGGAAAGTTCTTTCAGTGTTATCTCATTCATTGGTTTGATGACGTCAGTTTTGATGCTTGAATCGCGTGTCGATTTGAGATCTGCTACTTGTTGATATGTGACTCCCATAGCCTGCAAAGCGCCACCTTCAACATAAAAAGACAGCTGTTGTCAAAAATCAGTGCTTTTGATTCTATAGTCGGTTGATTTAAACTTTAAAAGACATCATAATTTGACTTGTTTAAGAAAATATTTCACTTAGAACTAGGTTGATGATCGTACAGCATCAAAGCTTTGAAGGTGGCCTACAAACTCTAGGTATCCAAATATTTGTTAAGATCCACAAAGTCCTGAATTCACCTTTTTTACACATTATTGGTGTGTGATGCACTAAGTTGTATTTAAAAAACACATTTATGGTCATTAAGACATCTTTCGTGACTAAAAAATCAAAACCCTTAAATACATTTTCTCAAAAAATGGGCATAGATTGAAGAGACAGACTTTATTTGCTACGTTTCTAAAACTGACATACTAAATTAACTCACGAAGGTTCCCGCCTATATGTTCGCTCTGCTTGTTTACGAAGCTGGCAAAGTGTTTCTCTTCGTACGGATATAAATTCTGGTTTTTGGACTTGCCACCAAGGTTTTTGATTGCCATCTGTGCCCGAACACGATTACTTGGCTGTAAACAAGCCATCATTTTCGGCTCAAACTGTGAATAGAACCTTTTGACCTCACTTAGTTCCTAAAACGAATTTCATACATCAGGTAAATTAAGTCATCATTTGTTAATAAGCAATTTCTAAGAGCAATTTTACCGTGAATAGTATTTGGAGGGTTTTAATTTTGCTTAAAATGTAAGGGTTAACTATAAAATTAAAACTATAATATTGAAAAAAAAAATTAAAAATATGATTGACTCCCATTGGGAACGGAATTATGTTGAGAAGTGCTGGCGTTCTTGATTTCGAGCAGCTTTTAATTTGAATCAAGTGATGTTGGTACTAACTTTATTTTCTAATCCACCACTTTAATATTTTTTTGGAAATCAGAAAATCATATTTCTTATTCAGTGATTATTCTCAAATTCAAAAGGTATGTGGATCTGCAGGATGTGCTATAAAAATATAATGGGAAGGTAATTACGGTTTCTGTATTCATTGCACCAGGCGTGTTACTTTTCCTTGACAACTTCCGGCCCTAAAAAGTTCATAATCATTGGTTAAAAAATATGAGGCTTGAATTGCCATACTACAAAATAACTTATTATTCGCTTCACCTTTTAAGAATTAAGGTTTTCTTAAATTCCATAACTGAATTCCTTAGGCTTTATTTAATCTTCACAAGTACAATCACATTACAAGATTGTGGTAACTTCTTTAAAATATACAAGAAATAAATTATCGAATTTAGCCATATCATTAGACCACATAGCCTCAGTACCACTTTTTCAGCAACGCCGGTAGTAATTTCAAAATATCCGTGCTGTACTATTACGACGTGAACATTACAAGGTCTCTTTAATTATTTATTTGCGACGATGAAATGCAATGCAAATGTATCACGATTTCAAACGTTCTTATTTCTCATTTCTGAATTCCTCATAGGCATCTTGTTTAAAATCAAACAGAGCTGACCATTTCAACTTTGTTATACAAGAACTTTATTAACGTGAACTGTTTATGATCCGAGAAAAGTGGCTACTCTAGAGAACTCACCCAATAAAAGATTCATAGCAGTACAAATCTTAGCATCCATGTTAAAAATAGTTTATTGCTACTAAATTAAGCAGCATCGATCTTTTTCTTACAGGAAAGCATTTTAGTAAAAGGTACAACAAATGCATCCAAATCATGACATCATACAGTTAGATAGGACAATAACTTACGAATACAAACACAAATGACGTACACGAATAGCTGCACAATATTTTAGGATTACAGATACTGTTATATTTTTAAACAAAAATCAAAACATAACACAAAAACGATAGACAGCAGTAGAAGATTCAAACAACTTTGAACACACTTAAAAAAAACAAATATAGCCTGTAAAAAAGCAGATAAAAGTCAAGCTGAACCTGAAAACATACATGCGTTATCTTGTCCATGAACTTGTTCATCTTTACAAGTAATAAGGTAGTCAAAATTCGCCAAGGTCACTAATTGCAATCCCCGCTATTGCTGGAATTAAGTGTCCTTTTTAAATCACTGACCTTGACTTGATAATCTTGATGTCAAATAATCTCTAATAATCAAAAAAATTAAAAATATATGTTTTTTGCATTTTAAATAATTCAGTGATTAGCCAATAATAAAAAATATAGCGAAAAGTGTTACAATTAACATATGTCATCAAATAAAAAAAGCAGTATGGCTTTAAAGGAAAATAACACTCTTAAATATTTCAATTTGCACTGAACTGTGGTACCTTTTACGTTTAACACAGCAAATCAAACTGGTTAGGCTTTACAATAAATTTCACTGGGTGTGTAAAGGCCTGATTTTTAACATTCAGTCACAGTGGGACCACCAGAAGTTATTGGCCAATTACGCTTAACAGTGCCTCAAAAATTAGCCGCCTATAGATGACAGAGAGACAGACGTAAGTAAAACATTATACATAAATTTTACGGCGTTTAATATCACTAATAAAATCACAAGTGTAAAAATGTAATCATTTGGAACTCATCCATTAACGTTATCTTTCCAGATTATATTTGCTTCTGTATCACTGTCTTAGAATGGCAATGTTATTTGTATTATTGCAATAATTTGATTTAAGGTACTTGACATTTTGATCAACATGAATCATTTAACCATAAAACCGGACCTATTTTGTTATCCAAAAAAATCTTATTCTGAGCAGTATAAATGTATGCAAATCCCAACTACCAACATTTTCCTCGGCACAGTAGAAGCAAATATCTGATTTGATTCCCGTGTCTGGATAACTATGGTAGTTTCAACATTAAAAACTGATAATTTATTGTGCATACTAATCGCTTTAGTCACGACTACGAATTCAAAAGCATCTGCACAAAACATCGAGCTATTAAGCCTTAGCCGATTTATTAATGCGGCATATGGCATTTTTTGTTCATTAACTACTAGGTCAAAAATCTTTGCTTAATAAAACACATTTATAAAAAATATAACTTTGACTAATACATAGTTTGCTTATAATCATCTTAAGTCTTTGTATCCTTTTCTTACATAATCCTATTCATTTACTTCCAAACGAAAACATGCGAGCTTTCGAAATACAAGACGAAGCCTATTAACTATAAAATTAAGTATGCGAATGGGTTCCAAAGCATTTCCATTAAAGTTTTGCCACAACATTATTACAACATGGTGAAGTCCATGTAATGTTTCACAAAAATAGCAAAAAATAAACATAAAATGTTTAACGGCGAAATAAGGATTGGAAATGTATTCAAATATTAAATGCAAATTTGATTTATCAAGGCAAATCAGTCTTGTCAATATTGAATGATAAACATCAATTACAATAACACATTTTCAGTGCACAGAAATAAAAGATCAGCACATGAGGTCTGTTTATGACATAAGGCGACAAAATTAATAGCAACGGTAAAATGAAACTAACAAATGCGCTTTAGAATATCCCATTTTAATTCAGTACCTAAAAATTTTGGGCCATCGCGATTTAATAAGAAGGCAACTCTATATGAAAAAACTCCACTTTTCCAAACATTGGTTATTTTTGCCTTTATTCGATCACACAAGATGTCGCTGTCATTAAAAGTCGTTTAAAAAGACGTGCTGTCTTTGTAAAGGCTAAATTAATCTTTTGTTAGCCAAATAATGTTAGTAGCAGTTCCCTAGCGTATCCAGACTAAATTATTTTTGGCTACAATTTTAATTCGGTCGAGATAATCCCATCTTAGAGGTCAACTGTGTTTAAAGTAAGACATGCTTCTTCGATAATCTTCTTTAAATCAAAATTGTTGCATATTATTTTTTCTTGTATGTGAATAGCTGTAATGTATACCGCAAAAATCTACATTTACATTAAATTAGCAAATAGACGCTTAATTTTCGAATATCAGCGTATTAATCAAGAGATAAATGATAAACAACTCACCAAATATTAGTCGAAAAAAAATATCCTTTAATAAACGTATTAAAAATAATGCTACTAGAAAATCTTCCGAATGAAAGACATTGAAGTGAACATATATATTATCGTATACCATGCCTTTTAAAAAATAATAATTTTTAACTAATGAAACACTGAACTTTTGCTCAATAGAGATATTAATATACACTGAACATAATTTGTATATGGTTGGGATTTTAGCCTACTTGAACTATTCAGTTTTACATTGTTATATTTTGAATTTTGGTTTTAAGTAATGGCAGTTTTTCAAATGCTCGGACTATTATCTTATTGGTGCCTATGGCAGCCTCGCGGTTTGGGTCGCCCGTCTGTATTTCGTCGCCTTCAGCTGTGCATAATTTCCAAAGTGAGGCAATGACAGTCGGTTCGCCACCGCAACAGTCAAATACTCCATCTGGTTCCAAATTTTTGCCTGGATTTTTAATGGGTGATTTTCATAGCACTCCTTCGGAAAGATTTCATGCTTCTTCCTTCACGAAATCACCTCCCTGCTCTCCTGTTCCGCAGCATCCTCGCTATTTACAGGTTTGAATGGGTTTTCTGTGTAAATATTATGTCTCTTGCTCTATTTTTACATCCTGTTGGAATATGTAGGCCCGACTATCTGGCTTGAAGCCTGTACCAACGCTGGACCGGAGTTCCCGACGACACGCATCACCACCAACTCAGGGTTTGTGGTCCGCTGCCAGTCAAAAGAAGTTAGTTGAACTAGGAGACAGTCAAAGTTCTGTGGAACCAATGCCGACAAAGTCGCCAAAGCCAACATCTTCAGTTTATCCGCGTTTCGGAACACCGAAAACGGCTTCTCCATTCGAAAATACTTCCTCCAAGGAAGGCCTAGTTGAAAATGAGTAATTTAATTTACTGCTTTGTTGTAAAAATCATTTTATTCGCGTTTAATCATCTTTTACGATTTTCTAGTTGGTCGTTCTTACCTGACGACGAATCAGCAACATGGATAACGGTTTTTGGGTACGCTGTTGTAGACGTCTCTTCATTTCTGTTTATCGCTACCCTTAACATCCTACCTTACAATATATTTTAGGTATAATCCGGCTCAGGCTTCTTCTGTATTACAGCAGTTTTCCCACTTTGGAACCATTCAGAAGTATCTTGTAAGTCCACCTATTTTAGTGTAAGTACTACCTTAAAAAATTGAATTTGAAGACGAAATGGGCAAGTTCCTCATCAAGACTATTAAATGCGTTATCTTCCGCATTTTATATAAACATCTAATGCTATCTTCAATTGCTTGTTTTCTGGTTTTGAATTGTTCGTCATAGCATTTAGAAATTATTTAAGTTAATTTAAAATGGCTATTGGTTTGTCATGTCGTCTTTTATTTAGTGTATTAATTGTTCCATTTTGTAAATTGAAGGCTTTATATTGCATTGTGTAACTTGCCTAAAGAACTATTTTACATTTTCAAATAGATTACCAATGAGGGAAATTGGATGCATATTAAGTACGCAAACAAGATCCATGCCAAGTGTGCGCTTAATAAAAACGGTCGAGTCTTTCCTGGAAACATCATGATCGGTGTTCGGAGGTGTACGGATACGGTTAGTCCATAGAGCTTTTGTATTTAGCGATTTCCCTTTGTCGGATTGTTGTGCCCTGTCAGCTCACGTATTTTAGATTCACGGAAGAGTTATGCCATTGTCTTCTTTCCTCACAGAACTACATGTTAACTAATGTAAAATGTCACACTTCATTTATTATTAATATTGAAATTGCAAATAGACTCTTCTACTCTATGCCTTTACCGACATTTAGGAGGTAATGAGGAGTGCTGCGGCTGTCGCTCCTTGTAATTCTAATCCGATTGATGTCTCAAGTCATGAAATTTTCAAGTCACCAGCACCGAAGTTCGAATCTCTAGCTCCAACAGCGGAGCCTCGAAGCAAAACGGCCACAGCGGTTGACTCTCCCCTGCAGCTCAATCATAGTTTCAGTGACGCAACAAAGCAAAATTCTGTATGCCCCAACCCCGGTCTCTCTCGGCACAGCTCCATGCGACCGCTGGCAGCCGCTTACCAGCCTCCTCCTAGAGTACAGGTTTCTAGGACAAATCAAGCCCAGTCATTTAGGGTAAGCACATTCAAGCTGATGGAATCTCACTAAACTACGTGTAATGAATCCCGCTCGTGACTTCATCACATTAGTCAAAATTTTATCACATCACCAGAAAGTTTGTTTAAAAACTTGATTTCTCGAGATCTCTGGTGCTTATAATAATTCTGGTTATAATTTATAGTTAAAAACTTAGAATTGTCGGTCGAAGGGCTATGTAAAGTATATATGGGTCTGCGTAAAAGCTAAAAATCCACACGAAGTTGCTGCTTCTTGCGCTGCTTTCGCTGTTGCGAATGAACCCTGTGGGGTTTAATACCGACCTTTGTGATTTCGATTGAGGATCCAGCTTCCACATGAATTAATACGTTCTGATACCATACTCGAAAATCTAATTTTGTGTTCTGTTCAAATTCACCTTAGTAACATCGGAACATTTATTTTCCCAAAGTACTTTTCTTACTTAATTCGGTTTTTAATTAGTTGATCCTCACAAAAGGTTTCCTCTACCTGTCGGAAGAGCTGACCTGACTTACTAAATTTCTGAATGACTAAACCCGTGTTGTCTAAGTCGACGGCGGACTCACATTGATTTAAAATATTAAAACGAGTTTATGCCTGGACTGTTCCCATCTTAAAGCCGCTTATTAACATTTTTAGCAACAATTAGGCACTCACTTTCTTGTCTTTCACCTCTTGGGCAGCTTTTATTTCCTTTAGGAGGCTTAAATGCTGTCACTTCCATTAAACTTCTCTATTAGCTCGTGGCAGGGTTTGCATTTAAATGACCGACCACTACCTCAATTTTCCTTACTTTAGGGTTTGTCTTCAGTTTACGCTGTTACATAGCTTCATCATCGTGTTGGAAACAAGCTTTTTATTTAGTATCAGTGTGGTATATTTTATATTTCAGGTAAAACCTTCGAAGCCAGCCGGACTATTTTCTAAAGCCCTAGATTATGTGTTTGGTTGGAACTAATGGGAGTTTTATGGTTGTCATTTCTACATTAAAGTGTGTACTTATGCCTGCTCGACTTCCATTCCTTCTCAGATGTCTCCCTTCTAAACTCTAAAAACTGTGGCAGCATATATGTGCGCTGGCCGTTTCTCTTTGCTAGCATCGTATCGGAATTAAGGCACCAGACCATTAATTGGCTACATTGGTTTGGATTTTATTCAAGTGCAAATATTTTAGGAGCTTCATATCGGGTCAAAGTCGTATTTTCCATGTACAAGTAGTGCCATTATCAGCATTATTTTTGGGAACTTATGGTCTTGTGGGGTGTCTGGTTCCGTCTTCAAAGATGCTTTAATACCACTAATTTTTAAATCGCTCTAGGTGCAAAATATGTGTAAGTGTGAAAGTCATTGGTTCTTGGGCTATTTTACAATGATGTGGATTTTTTACTCGGATTACGACTAACACCTGTCTAGGAGAAGATGATGCTGGAAAAAATGGATAGGGGTGTTGCTGAGAGATGGGAGGACAAGCACTACCCCTCTAAACCGGGTCGTCAAAACCTGGTGCAGACGGCCTAGAAGTCCTAAGCTGGTTTAGGACCAACAAGTTGTTACAAAGTAAGTACAGACCAAGCAAAGTCGAAGTTTGGGCAAGGCTTTTAAAAGATAAATACATATTTTTCTCATGCAAGTGAAAACCTTCTTAACTTTGTAAAGGTGTTTGCGACAAAGAAAATTAGATGATAATTTCATTCAGCTTAAAGCAAATGATTAACACAATTCCTCAAAAAAATGAATCAAAAAATGACATTCCTCAAAGAGAGTCTAGACAAAACTATCACTCTATTGTCACACAAAAGTGACTTCTTTAGCGGCTCTCGTGTAATTCCAGAACCACAACGGGGGAATCTGCAATAAACAGTTTTAATGCAAAAGTTGTTTTTAAAAAAAATCGAATTAGAAACATACGACTCCGCAAGATAGCGTGCCAAGGTAACGTTGATCAAATAAGTCGACGAGATTGTGTTAATCATTTGAGCGTGCCCTAAACGTTTGGTACAATAGAGTTAACACGATTGTAATTTGTGAAATTTTAAGGTGATACCAAACCACCTGTTAACAAAATGCCACTTTACAGATTCCCTAATAGCGTACTAATGGGTACTCGACCGCATAATGTGCTCACATAAAAACTTTTGCAAGCGTGTGCAAGGAAGGCATTCAGAAGCATGTCAATTTAATATTCCTTTTTTCCCTCTTTCAAATGCTTAAGATTGATGTTACCTGTGACTGTGCATACTATTTAACTTCTTTTTTTCTGTGAATTTAAGTTTCATACTCTAATAATGTGCTTTGGCTTTCCTATTAATTGGGCCAAACCAATATCATTTAAAAATTTTGGTTAAGCGTTAAAGGCAGTAACTGTTGATGCTTTCTTTTGTTGCAAAATAATTTTTGCAGTCATAGTAGAGTATGTGCTTTTGAAAATAAGTATTTTTTAAAAGAAAAGTGCAGTTTTGTTTTATTATATTAAGGCTAATGGGTTTCAGGGTTATACTCCGACCTTGGTACAAATTACCTTTCCCCTCTATCTTCAATTAATTTACGTAAACATATAGATGCTATTATCAGGCACGCTTGCCCTAAAGATAGAGTATCTGGTACCAGATCTTCTTAGCAATTGTCAGCAAAAGAATCCAGAAAAATTAGCTCGGCCACTCAATGGGACATCACCTGTCGTTAGCAATGCCATACAATCACTTTTTGTTTCAAATGACGACATTCCAAAGGAACACACTCGCGTTTATTTGGAGGAAGAATCCCAGACCCGCGTCAAAAACTTGCTTGATAAAGCTAAGTCTGGGTCCTTTTTAACTGAAGATCAGCACACAGTTAGCACCATCGCTCAAAAAAAGATGACGAAATTTGAGAATTTGACAAAAGAACTATTTGACACTGAGAAGCGCTATCTTGAAACTCTCCGGATTATGAAGGTTTTTGATTGTTTTTATCAACTTTGTTAGGATATTAGTGACAAAATTGAAACAATTGAGTCGGATCAACGGGAAGTTCTCCGCGATGTCTTCAAAGAAATCCCTTCCTTGTACATGCTTCATGCATACATGGACAACAAATTTTATCAAGGATCCTCTCAGGATCTTACATTGCAGTCTTGGATACAAATTTTTACCAGTGCAGAATTGGCGCCGTATTTTAACATTTACAAAGCCTTCTTGTCCCGCGTCCAGTCAACATACAAAACGCTTCAATTAATATATGATAAGGATAGGGCATTCAACGAATTTTGTCAAACCGTTGTGGTGCGTACGACATTATTATTTTGTTTTTATCATTTTTAGCGCTGGTCTGGATCATAGTTACTCTTATGTTGTGTCGGTTTCAAGTCCCCCACCACCAAATGTTAAGTAACCACTTATTTCATTGCAAAAGTGTCATTCAAGAAAACCGCAGTTCCGTCTGCCACTTTAATTTCAGCTTTGTATTATTGAAGACAGATCATTTTGCTATTTGCAAATCTTCATACCCGTTGGTTGCGCTTTCATTCACATCTCAACAAAACTCCCTTAACTTGTAGAATTTCGATTGTGAATCTCTAACGGCAACATTCCCACACAAACCTAAACATTTAAATCTGCTTCTTCTAATATTAAATTAATGCGTTCGAACTTCTCACGGAAATGTGATTTCCTTCCATTTTTTATTTTGCCTCAGATGACGAGCCAATTCACGGAGCAGCATATTCAAAATATCCCTGGCATGTATATTGGGATACAAAGCCGACTAACACGATATCTGATGTTGCTTCAAAGTTGGTTGATTTCGTTTTACCTCTAATAGTCCTCACTATCTAGAAATTGCAGACCTGTTTCATAACGGCTTGGACCGGGAACGATGTGAGTGTAAGTCCTCACTTCATTCACTTTTTTAGTATTTAGGTGCCTTAAAAAACATCAAAAGTATTCTCAAGACATCAGAGGAAGAAGTGACAAAGAATGTAGGCTATGTTTTTCTCAAAAGTTATCATGAACTTCCATGAGTGAGCCTAGTCATTTTTTTAGGAGATGATCAACCACGCGCTGATGATAAATGAAAAACTTGAAGGAAGGAAAAATCACTTGGACAAGCTAGCCTTGTTTATTCGGTCAGGGCCATGCCTGAAAATTCCTCGGAGGTCCGTTGGAAAAAAGCCTTTAAGTAGACACTTATTTCTTGTAAGCGCCTTTGTAAATGTTTGTGTCTACTTGTTTGATTAAGTGAATATGGTGCTTTGAAATATTTTTAATGCATTAGGAGTTTGATACCAATATACGAGACTATTTCAAACCGATCGTTTAATAAACCTAATACGATGAGTTAGCGTGCATCCCACCTTTATTATCACGTATTTTTCTGCAAACCTACTTATTATGGCAATAGCATTTCTTACCGCAGTACGTCAGCAAATCATTTGATCCCTTTTAGTTCTCCGACTTTCTCGTAATAACAGAACCCGAATTCACAACGACTGGGCGCTATTTGGTAAAATCGGAGCTAACAGTAGTCAGTATGATGGTAAATACTGGAAGTTTAGATTTTGCTTTTCCCTTACTACACCATGTTTTTCAATGTTTAGTTGTTAATTTATCGTTTATGCACGAGATATTTCAGCTTGAAATTTTGTCAAGGACCACAGTAATGCTAGCTGACTTCGAGGCCATTAATTAAAATGTGTTTTTATTACGCAGTATATTTTGCTGTTGTGTTTTCTACTTCCTTAGTTTTTATATTCTTTCAAGCACTCTCCTCCGGACAATTAATTGCCTGTCTACTTATAAACTTGTGCAACTTACCTCGCTGGTAGTGTCATCACGTGCTGACTAAGCAACAGAATATAAGTGTCTTACACCAATTCCCCGCTTTTGGTCTAAATAAGTACCTGGATGTTATGTGGCTGGACGTATTTAATACACAAAATCATGTCTTTATTCCTTGCCCTACAGCTTGAGGAGCCAAAACCAGAAGACGATATTCCCATGCACACCTGCATTCGAGTCCGTGCAGTTGAATGTGTGGTTGAGTTAATGTTCGCGTAAGTAGCTTGTTTAAACATAGTAGTCCACCGCCGCTTGAAATTCTCTGCCTTGTTATTGAAAGTAACTCTTTTGTGGTGAGTGCTTCAACCAATCACTTTCATGCATTCCGCTTTGAGCTTACCTTGCTCAAAAGCACTGTGTCTGTAAATCTGCGTCATGTATTGTCTACTTACTCAGTGTGCTGTCGTGCCAATATAGTTCAGCAACTTTTTACGTTTGCCTCTTTATACCGTTAACATCATTTTCTCTGAAGTGGTAAAATGAATCCGTAATCAGGTACCCATCGACTCTCGAAGGTGTTGGGCATAATTCCCTTTGGAATAAAATCTGTCCTTTTTAATGACCTGTCGTGTAAGCACACACTAGATGCATCCCAAAAACCCTGATCTGTTAATCTTATTCTCAAATATATTATGTTTATGGAATATGTAATGTCAAATGTGCACTCAGGTTGGTCACAGGAGCCCTGGATGTCAGAGCTTTGTCATTGTAATTTTCCGTCACTTGTCTTAGTTTCTGTTCTATTAGATGGAACTGTTGTGCGAGATTACAGCACGGTTGCTGTGCAAATTACCCAACACATACACGAACCAATGAAAAAGGGTTATCTAAGTATACAAAAATAGAATTTATGCACTCATTATAGAGACGAAAATGAGAAATTAAGCTGGTGGAAGAGTTTGGAGGATACGATTGAACAGGAGCGCCGTAAGAACGACATCGTACAGTCATTTGTCCCACAGCGGCTCAGTGTGAGTTGCATCCACTTATATTTTTGCATATTTCCGAATCCACAATGGTCAAACATGCTTTAGTTTATGACAGTCATTTGAAGCAGGTAAGTTAGTCTGCTCGATTGTGTATGTCGTTTTAATAAAATTCGCCTCAAACTCTGGTCATACCTTGCTGACGATGGAATCAGTTGATAACAGACACCCCAGGTGTGTTGATTTTTTAGGATAAAATATTGCTTATCCATTCGTTTGACTTTAAATCATCAGCTATGTATTCATTTGACCGAGTCATTGAAAATTTCCTTGGAAACTTCCTTCCTAGACTGGTTTTACATTTGGCTTAATAAATTCCTGCATGTTTTACCTTTTTTATCTACTGATTTTACCTGGTCCGAAGTAGTCACTCATTTTAAGTTTTCCTTATCGATCTTAAAGCGAAGTAAACAGTTTGCCATAAGCGGTAAATATCTGATATTGTTTCTACATGGCATTTTTCTGCTGCAAATCTATTTTTACTCATCTGGTTTACCTATGATTCGAAAGGGAGACTTCTTACCAGAACTAAAGCTCCACAAAACCTAGACTGTTAATTCTGCAGCTTTTAGCCATGGCGCATAGCCTTAAGCACTGGTGCGTCAAGGTACCTGTGCCAAGACATTCTCAACCAAGTATCTACTCACTCATCAGATACATTTCTTCGTTGGACCATTGCAGAATAAACCAGTTAAATTTTGTGAGCCTCTGCGCCCGTCTCTGGTTATAGATCTAATACTACATCGAGAATCGTACATTATTGTGAACCAAACAATCAAATTACCGTGTTGGCGATACCTGATCCATTTGGACCTACAGCTGTCGCCGCTGATGATTTCGTGTGATCTCTGTGGTTGCTTAAGCCCTCAAATTTCAACTTTTTTGATTTAATAAAAGCTTCAAATTGATTTTCATTTCAACAAGTCTCAAATAAATTTAAGTGATTTTAACCGGCACATGTACTGATGATAAACTACTGTCACGGAATTGGTGTGCAGATGTGCAGGTATGTTGTGGTTAAACTATTACCACCTCGATTGATTTCATTGCGTATTGCAGTCGATGTTGTCTACAGTGGAACACCAAATGCAACCGATTGTTTACAACAACGCGATCTTCGTGTCATTCCGTGGCTCACACCAACCGTCTGCATTCGTGAATCTAATTTGTTTGTGCATTCAATTGTGGGTCCAGTTTCCTCCTTGCAGTTCAGATTCCGCTCATCAAAAGTCTAAAAGGCAAGCATGTAAGAAGTCGGAAGTCTTTGGCAGATGCAATTCCGACCTCCCAGCTTGCTTTTGATAGGATTATTAGCTAAATTGAGTTCTTGCCAATTGTGAGTGAAATGTATCCTATAACTGGTCCCCGAGTGCGAGAGTATTTTGTTAGTTGTCAGCACAAGGTAAGGCGAGGTAGCCCATCAACTTTTAAAATGAACCTGCAACTGGGAATCATCTTTTTTCACAGACTTAATCAGTTTTGCTTTAGTTTTTCATCAGGTTAAAACTTTTTTTTGAATGCCCTAATACTGCACACAAGTTGATGCCTACTCCTAGGCTGACAGTTACGCACCACTTAAGTTTACTTTAAACCATGATTTAGTCGAAGACAGGCTGCTGATGTGTGTCCGCAAGTGATTATCTCTATTTTAGCTTATAAAACTAAAATTTCATTCTAATTCGATCCTTATCTAGTATTTTTCGATCGAAGTTCCCTGACATCATGCGAAAGGCAAAAGTTTTATCAGAATATCGAAGGATGGAGATGTCTACAACCAGGCTCTAGTTCTGAAGGCGCTCGTAAGGCACCCTATTAGTAAATTGTAAATTCATGCAACGTCTTGGCAGTTCATTCACGTTTAGTCAAGGTTCACCACTACCATCCACAGGAGATTTCAGACGACCACTTGCCCTGAGATCTGGATAGTATTCATTTGAAACCCAAATCTGGTATGTGATCCAATGGTGCAACTGCAAGCCCAAACTTTCGACATCAGATTTAATTCCTTGCAGGCAGTCCACAGCCTTCACTTCAAGGTTATTCAGAAATGGGTCGATTATAAAAAGTGGAACATCTTCCAAGGTTTGCTTGTGGACTTGTGTGGATTCCCATTTGTATGTCCGCGAACTTTTATAGGAACCCTCGTTTATCGAAACACCTGGTTCTAGGTTTGGTATTACTTAAATTTACGATGCACTACTAATTAGATCTTGGAGCAAATGTTAGGATTTATAATTGAAAAAAAACCTACCAACTTCATGTTTTCACGGCAGTTTAATTCATCTCTGGCGTGTTTAGTTAATGCCATCTAATCTCCTGACAAGTACTGACAAAAAGTGCGCTTCGCTCACGGCTACACTGTTAGTATTGTTGACAGACTGTGCAATTTGTTAAGATGTTTAGAAAGAGTCGTTGAAATTTGTTGTTTGTGTAAATTAAATATTGTGTTGCACTGCTATCACCAGCCTTCAGACTCTTCGGTTTATCGTAACACCTCTCTTTCGTGTGGGTAATTTTTCTTTTACTTTTTCTCCCCTTTATACTTCCAAATAGTGTTTAAAATAGTCCGGGTTTTTCATTAAATGTAACTCGATTTGGTGTTTAGGTATTATGTGCGCGTGCGTAAGGTCGAATTTTAACTCTGATGCAAAATGTTTGCTCCAAATGTATCATAACCTAATGACCACACTTTTTTAAGTACCAAATAGAGTCAGCCATTGATTCAGACATTTCTAAAAACAGGAATTCCTGTTCAATTCAAGAAAGCATTCGAAATTGCTGGAGCTATTTTCTGCTAATTTTTGGCCTATGAACTATCTCTTAACGAGATCCCGTGTTAACGATTTTGTCGTGGAAGAGGGTGGCGTATGAGAGCGATCAAAAGCTAGTTCCGATCAACAAATCGGCCACCGTCTGAGATCGCTCGTCCTAGTAAAGCGCAGACCGGTTAAAAACGGATGTTTGATCTCACTTCTAGCGGAAAACGATTCTCTCCGAGTCCTCCCACATTAGCGCACAAATTCACCGCATATTGGTACTTCTTATCGATTGACAGGACTTTGTCCTTGTGTGTTTGCGATAAAAGTGCGTTTTTGGAACCTTGAATGCATATATCGAGGTGGAAATGTCACCACTACGAAGTAACGGGATACACTCCTTATTTATTCCATGGAATTCGGCATCCAAACGTTGGAGATAAGTTTACCAATCATTTACGTGGTTGCACACTACGTAATTGATCGATTGGTGATAATGTGGACAGTTTGGATAACGTTTTGAAACGCTAGCACCAAAACAACCTTTCAGTCTCGCTAACTTCTTATTTTAGGCTTTGGATTCGAACGGTGGGACCTCAAGGGCGGCTGAATGGGTCAAGGACGAACAGGCTACGATGTGCGCCCTCTGCTACCGCAGATTCACGCACATCCGACGGAGGCATCACTGCCGGGCATGTGGCAAGGTAAGAGACATATGCGTCCACGTACTCCGTGGTAGTTCATTTTGACTTTACTCGAGAGCCTTTCCCGTCTTTACTCCGACTAAACCTAAGTAAAGTATGCAAACCACAAATAAAAATGTTTGTTTGGGGGACAACATGGCACACAGAATTTGCTCTTCGAATTTATTATATGTAGTTTACGGGCTTAGGGGCTTCTGTCAGTTGACGTGATTTTCTTGCGCCTAAGTGCTATTAGCAATTAACAAATCACGTCGTTACGATGTGTTTCAAGTGGTAAACGTCTCAGTTATTCTTTAATCTCGCCACACGTAACCTCAGACCATGTAATGCTCACCCTTCCCTTTCGATCTGTGTGGGTTGCTTGCAAGTGACATTCACTGGTAATCTGGGTGTTACGTAATTTCGCGAGGAGCTATAGTGACTTCAACAGCAATCGGGTCCGTTTTACTCACTCACCATATTTCCATCCATTCGGTAACTACATATTGGGGATGAGTATCGATTGGATTAACTTATGCGCCGATTGGTTTAACGACGCAATTGTTTTTCCGCATTGCTGATTTCGACTAGTGGAAAAAAATCAAATTTATTTTTCAAAAAAAGCAACTCACTAAGAACAAATGCAGTTTCGTGCACTGCCAAACGGATGTGCTCTATGTGATTGAGAAAGTTTCGACAACTTGTGTAAATTCATTGGATTCCTTTGAAAAATCAGATTGTCATCTTTCCAAAATAGGAATTTAGCAACCTGTAAATAACACCTGCATAAATAATCTTGAAAATGCGCTCTAAAGACAAAAAAACAGCTAAAACAATCCGTTAAAAGTGAATGTATACAACACATACAGTTGTTGACCACTATTGTGGACTTTGAATAGTGTCCCAACAAAACCTGTACAGTAAAAATGGTCACATGGAAATAACATAACACATGTCACATAACCTATGTGGTCTCTTTTACCATTTCAAATTACTTAAATGAGGTGGTCCCTTTCACCGTAACACTTGGGCGGCATCCTGATGCCGTTTCCTCAAATGTCCTGAATGTCTAGTGCCGAAACGTGAATGCGTTTACGCAGTATTATACCTTTTGTTTTCGCGTGGTGTTTTTCATCTCTTTTCTCAGGGCTTGTAGCAAGTGCGATCTCACAGCAGCAACTCCTCTTGAAAGCCTACATAAGTGTTGTAACTTAAGTAAGACATAAACTTTGGTGTTGGCAGCTTGTGTGTCCTTGTGAGTCTCAGAGCGTTGTTTAGTCAGGAGTTGTGTCCGCTGCTTCCACCGCATCATGACTAAGTCCGCTTCACACCCACGCGGCTTTGTTTACGGTGTTGGTAATCCTAACAGCGGATGTACACTAAGCCTTGCGTGGAGCCTCTAAATTCGTCTCTGTGACTTTTCACGTAGGCGTCAAACACTGGCTAGAGTAAGATGCGGCTGTGCCACGTGAACCCACCGCTTCAGCCAATGGAATTTTGTCAAGATGAAGCTTTCAGTTTACTTTTTTGGGACCTCACTTTAACTTTACAATTAATTTTTAAATCCAACTGAAGCCAAAATTGGGGCAAACCTTGTTGGCAATTAGCGAATCGCCAATTCATCGGAACCGTTATTCAAGCAGTGAATGAATCTTTTCTCATTTATACGGCAAATTTGAATAATCATGCTTGATCAGGCTTATGCTGTGGCTTTTCTAATTCGGCTTATTAGCTGTCCTCAAACTGCGTCGTCTTGTAGGGTGCTGAGTAACATGGATTTTACCACAGGTAGTTTGGGAATGTCGGCATTGCCTTGGAATTCCACAAGTAAGAACCACACTCAGTTTCCTTTGATACCAGTAGCGTTTCATTAGCAGGTGCTTTAAGGTCCGTCTGTGACGTTACTCCAGCCTGGTTCACGCCTAGTGCTTAGCGCAACCGTTCCGAGGTCATACTTATTGTGAATATTTACTTCCGATAAACCCTTGCAGAGATTTTCTGGTGCGTGGCTCGACCCACACATACGGATTACTTGCGTCACATATCTAAATACACGAACAACTGTACCAAGTTTCGCATAATGTCTTAAATTTACAATGTCTGTGCTGATCAAAGTCAAAGGCACATGCGAACACTTTGTTGATTTTGAGCCAATAACCAGTTTTGCAATTTCGGACATCAATTATTGCTCGTTCTTTCTTTAACATAGAAGAACTCCTATGCACGTTATATCCCCTAAATAGGAATGATTGTGCTTATGTTTCTGAATAATTCATGCTGCAGATACGGTGTGCTTGATTTGGGAACCCAAATTTCTTCTCGATGTTGAATCACATGACTGATTTTTAAAAGTACATACAGGGGGTCTGCCGCACAGGAACGTGACCTCCATTGTGGGCGCCAGCACAAAAAGCCGCTTATCTCGCCTGTGGTGTCAGGTTTAAGGTGATTTACAAGCTCCATTCACCAAACACTACCCAGATGATTCAACTTGGTGTAATCTCAGTATTGCGACTTTTTTCAGTACTAATATCTTGAATGCCTCCCCCGAGTTCATTTTTGAACCGCGAAGTTAATAAAAGTATTTCGGAACGTTATTACTTGCTGAGGAAAAGGATTCAAAAATGCAGAAGTCTGACATCCTGATACAATCTTTCAGTTCCTTTAATCGCATTTTTCAGGCTAGCTTAAATATCTTCTACCTGCCTTGTTGTTTGTGTAGATATTTTGCCGCCACTGCTCCAGCTACAGTGCAAAGATTGACCACCTGGGACCTTCCGAGGTTCGCGTGTGCGAAGTGGACTTTTATCGTCTAAATCCCAACTTGAAGCCCAAAAATGCCGCGGCTTTGGAACGCCTTGCGCGATTTTCAGAAGCGGTACGTACTCTTTTCACCTGCCAATGCCCCACCCTCGATTCCCCGTCACGCCCATTAAAGACGGCGACTGTTTTGAAATCGCCTTATCAACCGGCCTAAGTCGACTGCAGTATGAGAACTTGTCACCGTTTTTTCATCACTGTTTATTTTTTCCATCATGACCGAGGCAATTTGATACAATTGAGTGTCAATTTGAGTGTTTTTCCTGAGCTAAGCACGCTCTTCACCTAAGTTAGAATAGGAGACACCGATTTAAAAAGTCGATCGACGTCTCAGTGACTGTGTAATTGAAACAGCCGCTAATTTTGTTAGTTACCTGAAAGTTAAAGTTAGACTGAGCTTCGCTGTCTCTCCATTCGTGCTAAAAATTGTTCTGCCGCTTTCTAGTAAATCACAATTCACGGGTGTTAAGACACGTCAGTAACCCAGAGTCAAGTGCTTTTCCACGTTGATCTGGATTCTCATTAGCGTGTGCGCGCGAGTGTGTGTATGACTGCATTTATTTTTTTATTACTTTTTGATATGAGGACCTCATTAGGCAACTAACATCCATGTAAGTCCCCATTGAATTGGCGCGTTGTTCATTGGTGAGGAAAGCTGTCTGTGGTGGATAACTATCACCTTGTCACTTCTTTCATTTTATGCACTTTGGTGGGGCTGTTGTGCGTATTTCAGCTACCTCGTTTTGAAATGCTGGGCCTGTCGAGCCGATCGCACGTAACCGCCAACACTTCTAGATTGAGTTTATTCCTTATTTGCATCACATGGAGTGAATATTCCGGTTTGGCTGTTGAGAGTCCATTGCTACGTATTTTGAGTGAATAGGTTTCATCAGATTATTTGCAGTTTAGTGCTGTTTTCTTTGCTAGGGTCAGCGTTACGCGCCCTACCACCACAGTTTTCTGATGTGGACGACGCAGGTGCGCGGGCAGTGGCCACGCAAGAAGTCCCATCTGCGTGTGGAGTACTCCGCGGGACTTGTTCACCGAGAGGGCAACTCCTCGCGCCAGTATGGTCACCATCTGCTGCATCTGCGCAACTTGTCGCCTGCTTCATCGTCCTTGACTGGCGCCTCCTCCTCCTCCCCCCCGTCCTCCTCATCCTCCTCCCCTTTCGTAGCCACCCCACCCCGCCAATTGACCTTTGATTTCGCCCCCATCGAGAAGGCCTCCGACGCGTCGGCCACCACCGTTCCCCTTCCCGCAGCGCGACTCATCTTTACCCCCAGCATGTCACGCGTGTTTTGTGTCCTCCAGCCAGACACACTGTTGGCAATATTCGCGGCCAAGGAGGACGCGAAGCCATACAGTCAAGTGGCTCTGCTCGGAACGCGACTAATCTACTTGGTCAGACTGGGTGTCGAGAAAGGCGACGTCGACCACTCTGACTCCTCAACGCCGTCAAGTCGGTCACTTTCGAGGGCCAGCAGTTCGAGCAGTCTAAATCTACCCACGCCTACACCTTCCGCTAGACCATGTAAGTGTTTCTTGCTTAAAAACTGCTCTTTCCCGTACATCAAATCCTAGAAACTTTGTATCATTATCCCCATCTTATCTCGGCATGACCTTAATTTCCTCGCGTCTTGGCGCCCGGTAAAAGCGACACGGCATGAAAGTTTAACTTAGGCAAGGTAAATTAGACTACAACTGTCTTGTACGTCGTAGTTTTACTATTCAGTCTTTACCTTCAGTTTCAACAATCTGTATTCATGTCCACACCAAGAATACGCGTCGAAAGGTAAATTATCATATTCTCAAAGCTTATGTCTAGACCGAAAGTCGTGTCAAATCAATCAACACAGGCGTTACTTGAATGATTAAATATGATTACAATGTTGGTTTTTAATCAAACAATATTGCTAGGAAAGCGTACAACAAGAAATAAATCAGTGGTTTCCGATCTAGTGCTTTGCAGTCTTGGGTGCCAGGGAGGAATCCTACACATTATTTGGTTGTGGGCAACACTGCAATGCCTCTAAGTACTTCAAAAGGGCCTGCGAGGACAATGAACAGCGACTTGCATGGTGAAATATTTTCGAATCTGCGATGTGATGGTTTACATTTATTCAGGGATTGTAAATCTAGGCGCCTACCGTAACGACGAAAATGCAAAATTCGAATTAAATGACGTTGAATCTGTGTTACATGCTGTGGCAAAGTTTATTGCATGAATCGCTCAGACTCGAACCAGCAGGACTTCGCACAGCTTCACTGTGGTGACGAGTTGAATTTAAATATACTTCGGGTTGGCAAAGTCAGCCTTCTGAAATTAGATGTGATAGATTTTAAAAATCTTTCATTACACAAGTTTGTGGATGGAATGGGGATATTGCAGAGTTTGATCATTGAGATTTCATTAAACAGATTCCCCTGCTTTTATCTTGTTTTGCCACTTTTATACGATTATTCATCGTAATGGTTTACAGGTTAATTAACGTTTAAGAACCTACTTTAATAATGACAGTAAAATCTCATCTGCTTCATCCATATCAGAAAAATTGAAGTCAAAATCCTAATTATGGCCATTTCAGACACCCCGCATAGAATTGTTTAGACTAGACTACTATTTCAACAGCGTTTTCCCCGTTTCCTAAAAAGCCTGATCCGATTAACTGTGCATTCTTGCTGTGCATGAACCTCGGCTTATGCCGTACAGCGTCACCCACTGAACCACCTCTTTCTTCGCGAACAATTCGGCCGCCTCTGCAAAAAGCCCTAACAGAGGGCGATGCAGCAACTCATCAAAACAACCATTTCGGCCAAAAAACCACACACGCGTCCTTGTTAGCCCCCTCGGAGAGACCAACACAGAAGGCGGAGGTGGAGGGGGAGGAGAATGGTGATGGTGGTGGTAGTGGTGAAACGCCGTCAATCTGCTGGCCCAAGTACTTCAAGCCAGTGTCCGACGAGGCCCTCTCTGTGCTCTCCAACATGAACGGATTCCTTGTGTTACCCAGCAACACTGACAAAATGGGGCACTATTTCGAGGCGCCTAACGAGGAACTTCGCAATATGTGAGTTTCCAACACCCGATCCACCCCGGTTTACGCGTTCAGCTCATGCAATCGCTTCTATTTTTCCTGCTAACTTAAACCAAAAAATGCATCGTTGAAGAGGTCAGTGTATAAGTATACTCGTGGCCGTTTCTAGTATATGTAGCTCGAATTCTAGATAGTTTGTAACGATCTTTCACACGTTTTTCGCATTCATCAATTTCGACACAGTGTGAATTTGTTTTTAGACCTCGGAATTGTAATAATGGTGGAAGGTTAGTCTCTTATGCTAACCCTTTTATGTTTCAGGTGGATCAAGAAGATCAAGAGCTGTATTGTTGAATTCGGCCGGGGCTGAGCAAGCAGAGTGCTTTGTATCATTTGTTTTACAACTGTACGTGAGGCCTTCCAGACACGTGCTCTCTTTTTTTTCTATTTCATCGTTTTGATATTTTGATTTCTTTTTACAATGCCCCCTTAACTGCAACTGCGACATTAATAAAGTACTTGCATTTTAACTATCTTCTTTTTAAAAGATTATGATATGGCAATAAATCGTTTTATTGGAAACGAAGATGCGCGTTTTAAGTCATGGGATTGGTTGATATCTATTTACAGCAGCGCCAAATTATACTTGTCCTTTATGTATCAATTTATAATACTTCCCGTTGACATGTCTGCCATTTTTGTTACTGAAGAAAACCTTTAAACTTGAATGTTGCCTTAGATTATGAGTAAGGTTCAATTGACGTATGCCAATTTGGTGTGCTGATTAATTCCAATAGCACAACCTAACTGCCCGTGGTCTTTAAATTTGCTTCGGCTTTGCACCTGATTTTAAGCAGAAATCTCACACCCGTCTATTGACTACCTCAACCCACCACATTTCAACTGCGCTGCGCGTTACGATGAAATGAAGAATTCAATTTCCCCTTCACTTCTCTTCATCGTTACGCATATCCCGCTGTTCCTCACGAAATAACAAGTGCAAGTAAGACCTCCCTAACTAACAGCCTTTTCTAGAAATTTGTTCAGCTTTAATTAAAATGTATTAACCACTTAGGAAGTTTGTGGTTCGAAGTGAGTTGTTTTTACATGTTTAGATTCTCAGCAATGTAGGTCTATTTGCCCTCCTTACACAGACAGTTACTTTCCGCAGACGTTACTAATCAACAACATGACTTTTGACCAAATTTACGCGTATACTTATCATGGCAAAGACTACAAACATAGAATGTGTTTTTGAATTGGCATTTCAATTTTGGCCTCAAGGTACAAATTCAGCCCTCGGGTCGTTACTTCCAAGTCAGTTCCGATTTTTAAAAGCACCCCGAAACTCACTGACTAACTCTGCTTACTTGCACGCTGGTTTCTATTTATGTGCATTCTGTCGTGGCGCCATTCTTCGCTTTGTTCAAACTTACTCCCACGAAACCATCTAGGTAAGGTTATCGTGCTGTCATTTGCAAGTAGAACGTCCTTGAGTTACGTATATTACGCAAAAACGGTTATCAGATTGGCCATTACAGTCGATGCTTTCGGTGGGTCGACATTGTCCAGCAAAACTGCTCCAGTAGCTCTTAGCAAAATCCGCAATGGACACCAATCTCTGTGGCCGCAGTACAAGGAGGCAACATTCGTCACCTCGGTGATTCATTTTGGAGTACTTCCTTGCACAGTTGAAGTTTTATCTCTAGACGAAACAATGTTTGACATGGTTGGTTTTGCAATCCCTAATTCATCGGTAAAAATTATTGAACGCATTTTGCAGTGTACTAGAACATCGGCTTCTGCAGTAATTTGAAATAAATCATTAGTCATTCTCAGCTATATTTTGAAATATCCCTAACCCGTCATTTCTACTACATGTGAAAATTTTAATTAACCAGAACCCACATTCTCCTGCGGCATTATAAACATCCCTGAGTGGTGTTTACCCCATATTTAAACCAGCAAACATGTTTCGTTTAGGACTCCCGATTCACACGTTACTTGCAAACACTTTACATGCGATATTTACTAACCCGATTTGAGCGGTTTCACATTTCCAAACTGTGTGTGCAAGCTTGCGGTACATGGTGATTTTGGCCGCGACGCACGTGCTCGGGTAATGACAATATTGCGGTATGCACAGTAGTCGATAAATTACGAGTTTGGTGTCACAGCCAGAACACCCAACACTAGTCTGTTTCACTGGATTTACACTAACAAAAACGGTCCCTGTGCGTTTTGAAACCTCACAACGTCAAATGTTAGTTTCTATGGTTCAGTGGATGGAAGCCGGCATTCAATGAAGCCTACGGGTTGCGATTATTTACAGCCTATGCAAACTTTTAAACAACCACTTACAACACCCAGTTTCAAATAAATACGGTGTAGCGCCAATGGACCATTCCATCTACGGCACCTCCAATCATAAATGGCTTGGTTTTGACGTAGCCTTGTGGATGAAGCTTAAATCTGGGATCCAGCACATCATATCCAGCACCGCGACTGAACACTGCTCACCCAAACTGATTTCCTCCTTTCCAAGTTACTTGTACACATCTAATTTTAGCTATTTTTTAACCTAAGCTAGGGGGTTCTCGATTACTTTCATCAATGACAACCAGAAACTCCATGGACGTTCTGAAATGTACCAATAAAAAGGTGAATAATTTCTTATCATCAGAGTTCCTCACAAATACAGGACTTCCGTCATTACACCAAAGTCTCTAATTGTTTAAAAGTTTTCACCAAGTCCAGAGAAGTTGTCCTACTAAGGCCACAAGTTGAATGAAAATAAATCCAATCGAATTCCGTTTTGCGATTTGTCACGGATTTATTTCAAAGCACGTTTCAATATCATGTTTTATACTCTTGCATGTTCGTAAATCGCACAAACTTTGCGAGATTGTTGTTGTTCTTTATTCCATTCAAATCATAAACTGCCGCCTTTCACCAACCGACATAATCCGTCTCGTGTTACGTACGCTAGTTTTATGGGCTACGACATTGACAATATGCGTAGATGCCCACTAAGACCACTCATTTACAAGTCCGGGTTGCGACACTTAACCACTTTTGGGATTTTCTGTTTGAGTCAAGACTTACGTTTGCGTAGGATGATCATTGGAGGCGACACTCTCGTGTGCTGTTTGGTTTTTTGCCTAAATGTCGACTCTCCAGGCCAGCCACTCCTCTTTCAACCCAAAACTGGAGCTAAAAATTGCATGTGAACAGGTTAGATCGCGAACAGTTGTTTTCACTGAGTGGAATGTTTGCTTTGGTTAGCTCCGTCTTTCGGGTTTCTAGTCACCGGTAAGAATATCTACCGGGAGGCATTTGAATGCAGTGGTGTTGTAACAACTCGAGAGACAGTCAAATTAACGTAGGCATTTCATTGATACATCCAGATTTGCAGGAAAATCCCCTTGGAGTTGAGGCCTGTCGTTTGTACATCGGTTGTCACACAAGGCGTCGGCAGCTCTCTTTCGTGGAGATTATCTGAACACAATGTTTGCGTCTAGCCCCCTGGATAATGAGTATTTCGTTCTTATTTATTGCATTGTTACGTGTAAACAACGGCACTTCCACTGAAGGTTTAAAAAAATGCCTGCTCATTACCCTCTCGGTTTCGCGACCACCAATGTCTTGGGAGCTGCTTAGTTTGTGGATTAAATTGCTATTTTACGAGTAAAATTTCATTAAACTCCAGCATATAACACGGGACTAATCGCGAGAACTTCCCAGTGGCCAGGTTTTTGCAGTTTCCAGGTGACGTGGTGATGTGAGTTTAGGGAGGAATATCAAAATTAAAGTGAAACCAATTGATGCAATAGTAACCACCAATGTAGACACGAGAATAAATGAGGACAGTGGGGTTGTAGCTGCAGCAATGTAAGTGCGATCGAGTGCCCATAAACTTGGAGCGGTTGAATATGCAAATGAAATAGCAATAATAAGTTAGATTTTAAACTGCGAGCAATCAATATAATTTCAGTTAGCCTGTAGTTACACTTGCTAAAATTGAAGTAAGCACATGAAAATTTTTTCCTGTTAACAGGAACTTGAGGCCTTCAAAAACACTAACTTTTCTTGTAAAATAGAGTTTTCTCAAGAAAGATTTTTTATTTCACAGACTCCTAGACTGTGGAAAAACATTTGAATTCAGGCATTTAGAGCACAAAACTGAAAGTCTACTAGCAGGTAAGCGAGAGAATCGTTCTAACAAAGTCCGGAATAAATAATGACATTATTTTAAAACAAACTTGCATTTTCACCTAACTATGTACGTACACTGCTCAATCCTAGTTGCGGGAATCTGTAAGTTTCCACTGAAACAACGGGTTCCGAGTTGATTCAGATTCGCGGTTGCCGATTATTAACTCGTGATTAATGGCATGTGATCCATTCAAGTAAGCCATGCTCAAATACCGGATCACAATGGAATGATTCAATTGGTAAACGCGTATTAGGGGTCGACAACAGCTTTTCCACGTCATTTCGTGCAGTCAGTGCGTGAAACATTGGCTCCCGAGTTCATGTTAAGCTCTCAGGAGTAACTGCATGCGAAACGCTTTCGCCAGCTTTAGACTAAGCCTAACGAGTTAATGAAATTGCGCCAGAAACATGGCTGTTTTGTCAAAAATTGCATAATTCACAATTTAAACTGAAAATTACAACGGAGTTTATGTATAACTACTTAATTTACTAATTCATTGGACACAAGTCTTCGTGAGGTACTAATAAACCTCAAGCCAGGTTAAAAAGAGTTTGGGCCAAAAAAGCAACAGTGTTGGGGGTGGAACACTCCAAATCAATCTGGCAAGCGCGATCAGCGCATACAACAAAGAAAAAAGTGAGTTAAATGGGGGGAGGGGCCATTGACAGATGAGAAACGAGCGTAGTGTTTGTACATTTCAATTATTTGTATGGATATTTTTGTGACTGATGTGAGAGCACCCTGGCTTGAGCACTTGGTGTGAATTTTATTTTACCGAATGTCATCATTCAGTTAACATGAGAAATGCCAAATTTGTTGCTAGAAGAAATGGTTCCTATGACGTAGGTCGACTGAAGAAAATTAAGCAAAAAACGCCCCTTTTCAGACATTGGCGTACATTTGCAGGTTGCCTTTATCGAGTGACAGGGAAAGATGAGCCATTTTGAACAAAACGTCGGCTGAAGTTGAGGCGAAAGCTGTCACAGAAAAACATATCATAACAAGACATCGATGGAGTTTCTCACAACCTTTCCTTATGCCAAATGAAAACTTAACAATTCACCTCTCGTAGATCATGAAGCATACCGGTGCCAACGATAATTTCATAGAATTCTCCAAATGAGGATCTGATCATTGAATAGATATGCCCGCATAAATGTGTTCATAACTTATCTAAAAGTCGTCACAACTTATGGATTAAGAAGGAATTACAGTTATTTCTTTATTTTCATCATCAAAATAATTATGGAATAGATTCACAGCGTAACAAGTGATTCGTACAAAGTCCATTGGACTGAACAGATTAAAAGAATCGCTTAATCGACCAATGATTTTAATTGATAAGGAGGCCGGCATACGACAATCTACCAGCATTCAAACCTCACTTGAACGGGAAGGTGAACGGAGTCCCCGCAACCAGCGTAAATCCAAATTCTTGCCTAAATGAGAAATCCACTAATGATTCTGCGTTTTATGCGTACGCCTGACGAGCAAAAGTCCTTTTAACTTGACTGCGTTAATGTCGGTGGAGTAACGTCGGAACGATTCTACCACTTGGCAACACAGTTCTGGTAATCCACCAGATTCTCGACGCAGCCAAGCACCGGGTGTTGCGGCACAAGGCGTCAAAACGGTAACCTTTGAGACAAAGTTTACACAATCGTTCAAATGAGGAACTATTAGCTAGGTGAAGGTGCAAGCGACAATAGGTACGCTGAGACAATGAACTACACTCCGATTAATTTATGCGCAAGTTGTTTGAAGAAAATGAAATGCCGCAAGATTACTGAAGCCGAATATTTTGAGAAAACAGCAGATGCACGTACCAAGGGACCGATGAAATTTATGAAAAAGCAGGTGAGCGAACCGCAGTAGATGAAGGGTTTGGGGCAGATATTAAATCAAATTTAGAGCCTAAATATCCGACACCAAAAAGGGCCGCTGATCCGCTCACACTGACGTCGAGTTGAGAGATCACACCGACTATCGCAGTGGCAACTTCGCAACCCCAGACCGAACTGGTTTCAACTTGTTGAAGCGGAATGAGCCAATTCCCGCTTACGAACACTTGAAATCCCCGACAGCCAACGCTTACCCTGGTTGTGGTTACCACCTATATGAAAAAGGGACATTCACATCAGCGATTCCAGCTGACCCCTAACCCTATGTGAAATATTTCAAAGCCCAAAAGCCTAACAAAACAAACAACTTCCCGCAACATAACGCGGACCACGCTCCACACCAAAATACACGGGACCACCTTCTAAGATAGAACATTAGAACTCGTACATAACTTAGGAACCAATTTGCCTAAATGGACAGTGATGAAATACTACCGATTAACATATCGCCCCTGGATAGAAAGTGGAAGCCCACGAGTACGAGTAAGCTTGCTTAGACCAAGAATATCCTGGACAAATAAGGCGAGCATTACAGCTACTTCTAAGCAGGTAAAGTACCAGGCACATTAGTTGAACAAAACCCATGTTGCGCAGAGACGCTTCGACAGTATCCGTACCCGAGCATTTAGTAATGTTCACGAAAGGTCACAAGAAGCGTTTCCAAATAACCAGATAGGCAGTCACCTATGTAACAGTACAGCGACAGCTACATCGGGCGAATAACGACGCAAAGACGACTTTGCATGCAATTAACCACAGGAAACGGCCAAACAGGAATTAGCGCAAGGATTCAGGGCCATCTGACAATCTACCAGCAAGCTACAACGACCGATTTAACCGGTTCACTAAAAAACCTTTTATTATCACAACTATTGCATGAAATGCAAATACTAACGAGAAGATAAAACTATATTCAAGGCTGTTTACAAGTCGAAGGCCTTGCGCACCGGACGGCCGATTGATTAGAAAGCATACAAGATCAAAAACGCCATCATCAAACAGAACAGGCCCATGGCTTCACTTAGCGCGAACCCAAGGATGGCGTAGGAGAAAAGCTGCTGCTTGAGGCCGGGGTTTCGAGCATAGCCTATCACGAGGTTCCCAAAGACAGAACCAATACCAGCCCCTGATCCTGCAACGCCAATTGTGGCAGCGCCAGCACCAATGTACTTTGCGGCTTGATCAATGTCCCGACGAACAACGGAAGTATGAAGATTTTTGGATGTAATGTCAGATGCTGCAAGTGGGCATAGTTTGGGCAAACCACTTAGAACAGCACGGGAGACAAAAGGCCGTGAAGCCACTGTCATTGTCTTAACAAGTGAGAGAGTAGGGAGCATCTTAAAAGAAAAAATAAGAAATTAACTAAATGGAAGACTAACAAACAAGTACAAAACAAGCAAAACCAACCATTCTCGCGTGGAAGACTCGGAACCGAAAGTAGACAGCACCCGCCAAGACAAGACTTTAAATGATGATAATGTTTACTTAAACAAAATCACGAAAACTTGGAAGTGATTGCATATAATTCCAAAACTAATCGCTAAAAGCGATACTTAAAAATTACACTTATAGCAACAAAGCAATAATTTAAAATTAGTAGTTGGTGGAGGCAAAAACAGACTTTTAACTAGTCAATTGGCAATAGCTTCACACAAATGCAGTCATGTGTGATTAAATGTTGTGATCGCGAATTTTGTTGATTTTTTGAGGTGTAAGCCATAATTTGTACAGCGTCGTCCTTTCGTGCATTCACTGATTTCAACCAGTGTAAAAAAATTTGTCCATAAATTTTTAGTTATGAATTTTAACTTCCAGCTACGATGCACGATCCTGTAAATGGGAAATAAAAACTCATAAGATATGTGAAAAAAGTATGCAAACTTGCATACATTCGGCATAGTCAGATGCAGAGCATGTTAATTTTTACTTATGTAATGCGTCAGTTACTCTTTTTTCCGCAAACAGTTATAAGCCCGCGATCATTCCACCGTTACTTCTTTATTACCAGTAAACATAGTCATGGTCTCAATGGGTATGAAGCTTTTTAAACATCCGACACTAATACACTATTTTTATACATTTTCATCATAAGGACTGTTACTACTTCTTCACATTATTTAAACTTATAAGGCTGTAATTTTGTTTACACAACGAAGAACAAAATGTTCCTAGATGAATTAATTAACCGTTGCGATTTATGGACTTCCTTTTTTTATATATTGTTAATATTATTATGTGAGCACAGACAATGACTAGCATTTTCCACATTTATGGAAGGATTCTACTCGCATTTAAGCCTAAAGCATGAAAAACAGCAGAAAGCATTCTTTTCCTAAGACAATGTGGCCAAAGCCACTGATCACGCGTTTATTCAAAACAGCGTATGAAAAAGTTATATTGCACCCTCAAATATATTGGTTCACAACTACCGAATCTTTGCCCTTTTCAATGGCGTCAGTAAGCTATTGCATCATGCAATGGTACATTTGTGTTTATGTTAGCAGAAAAACTTATCACAGGAAAATGTACACATGGGTGGACTCAAAACTGCTTTCATGGATGACGGTAAGATCCATTCACTGACTAATTTAGCATACACCTGCCCGATTTTCTACCTTCTCTTTCCCCAATTTTGGTTGTACCCTGATACTTTTACTCAATTTTGCTGATTCAATGTAACTGACATTCCGTTATTTTGCATGTGGTATTTGTTTACGTTCTGATCGCTAGAAATATTTTTATAAAAATTATATGAGCATGCAAAAGCCTACTGTTTCACTATTTTACTCATTATTTATCAGGTTTTTTCATGGGGCTCTCGCTGAGTAATACTTACAATATTTACATTACAGCAAATGAGTTCAGAAATTGAGGCAGTCGAAAGTGATTTTTCCAGCTTACTTTCTGCAAACGTAATATTCATTGTCAAGCATAGCAAGTAAGTTTTTTTACTGAAAAAACAATCGAAATTTAGCAGGCTGTTTACGGACACCCATTAATGTCAGCAATTTACACATTCATTTAATCAGTCACCACTACTCCGCACGTCTTAGCACGAAGAGCCAGCTTGATGCTAATAGTCATGTATATTTATTCATCTGTCCTATATCTATTCTTAGGCAGTTAGAAACATTTGAAGGCAAAGTCAAATAATACAATTTGATTGAACAAATCATGTAAATTCTAGGCAAAATTCAGTTTGTTTAAATACATATTTTATTTTCGAGCTTAATCAAACGGACTAGAAGTGCTTAATAATGGTATACTGTCGTACTTTTTATACCAGCATATTTATAGAGCATACTGTCATACAATGGCTCAGCTATTGTTGGTATGAAGGGAAAAGATTGTGTTGCTATTGCCACTGATATGCGGTTTGGCGTTCCCCATCAAACGATTTCTACAAATTATTCAAAAGTCGAACAATTCGGCCCTCATTTGTTTGTTGGATTCCCTGGCTTGGCGACAGACAAGGAAACTGTGTACGTTTGTATAAATTATAAAACTGAATTTTGCAATACTGGGTGCGCAGATATTCCCTTTAGTGTTTTACTTTGTTAAAAATTTCGGTTATAAGTTGGGCTAGTGTATGTTTTCGTGTCTCTGAGTAATTTTGCGCAATGAATGCAGATGGGATTTCGCAACGTAGAAATTGTTGTTGCTGTAGTAGTATTTTGACGTGAAGGTTCTCGGCATGTTTGCGCAAGTCTCATTTTAGTGATAATTCATTTTTACGTGTATTTATGTTTGGTTTCGGCAATTTTTTGTTCTTCTAATAAGTTGTTACGTGCACATGCGTGCTTTATCTTTTCGAATACATTGTCTCTGTGTGTACTTTCCACTGTGCTATTTTTCAGTGGTGTCATATTCAAATACTCCCTGAATAAATATTCAAATGCTGAACCTGATGGGTGCACATTTTATCACTAAATGTGTGCATTTTTTTTTAATTATTTGGATGAAGCTACTATGTCTAATGGCGGGATTGCGTAGATGATAATTACCCATACACTTGACTAACCATATTAAAAATACATTTTTCCTCTTTTAAATTATATTTGATTGAACTTTATCTCTGTTAATTTAAGAATGTAAAGTCGTTAACAGCATCTGTCAGGCTAGATTGGAGCATTTCATTTGTTCGATGAATCAGCATAACTTCTGCATCACTCCGGTTTGTTGTATCTTGAGACATTTAACATCCCTTTGAAGCCATATACCTAAACTGTGTTTCTGTTTCGTTTTCTGCCACTTTTTATCAACTGCCTTCGTTAAAATCCACATCATGGCATCCTAGCTCCGTGCTGTACATGGGTTATCAAAGTTAAGGGGATTCACATTTATGCCACTGGTGCCACTTTATAAGTATAACTGGATTTCGTTTACATGGTGGCATATTAAGTTAATAATCTTATGTCACAATGGGATACCTCGATTTTGTTTTCTTTTGTTACCTTTTGACTGGTAAGCTTTGGTTTCTTTAACAGGTTTCAGCGTCTTCGCTTTCGGAAGAACATGTACGAACTTCGAGAAAACCGCCATATAAAGCCGAAAACCCTTCTATGTATGCTTTCAAATCTATTGTATGAACGCAGGTAGGAATGTTCTAATTAACCAACTACATTATTCTAGATTTGGTCCATATTTTGTTGAGCCTGTAGTTGTTGGTATCGATCCTGCTAGTGGCGCTCCGTTTGTTAGTGGAATGGATTTAATCGGTTGTCCCGCCGAATCAGAAGAATTCGTAGTTGGTGGCTCCTGCACGGAGCAATTGTATGGCATGTGCGAAACGCTATGGGAAAAAGACATGGTGGGTTCTGTCTTTATGCCTTCATTTGATTATGTTTTATTAAAACAAACCTCAGCTTACTATATTCGTCAGTGTTGTTATTCCTCTCGTGAAGGAAATTATTTTAGGCATGGCTTTCAGAACATTTAATGTTGAAACCGAGTGTGAATGTGTTTTTCTTTACCTGCTATGCCCATACTTTTTACTTCAATATTCGATTGTATACTTGCTACGTTCATCTGTTCTGCTATTTTATGCCACAGAAATGTAAAGTAAATGACCCCCAAATGACTTCATAACACAGAAAGCTACGGTTAATGAAACTCGCTCTTTCATTTGACCAAAACTGTCCCGTTTACTATATGGAGTGATTTTTGTGCTTAGAAGGTCTAAATGCTTAATTTAAGCTTTTTTGCGTGTCGGGTGTTATCAGCTCTTGTTAGCGTTCCAGTCTTTGCGCTTACTCTAGGTATACGTAAAACTTGAGCTAATTATAACGCATTTCTGGTTTCATGTTTTATCTATTCAGGACGCGGCCGCGTTGTTTGAGTGCATATCCCAATGTATTTTGAACGCAGTGAATCGTGATTGTATTTCTGGATGGGGGGCACGCGTATACTTAATGTAAGTTATTTAATTTCCTAACATTCCTGTACTCTAGTGAAAAGGATAAGGTCACCATCTCGGACCTCAAGGGACGTATGGACTGATTTTTTTAAATTTATGGATATGATAATAAACTGTTGCTGAAGACTGATTTTTTTGTCTTTTTAAGCAAACGCCACCGATTGGCCCTGGTTGTGAACCGTTTCGTAAAATATTAGGATAAATAGGGTTTGGACCACCTATTTATTACCCTTAGGCTCCGCTGTTTTGCCATCCGGATACTCAAGGTAGAATTTTTATTCCAAATCCCCCATTTAGTTGGTCGGACTCGGCGCAACCAAGTGGATTCTAATTTTAGGCTTCATACATGAGTCACTAAATTTATACCGTAAAAAGCCGAAAATAGTAAATTAATCTTCGACTGTGACCAGTTTTAACGTCTAGCTTAATACTTATACAGTTTTTCGTCTTAAATTTTATTCGATACGCGTCCGTTTGATAAATGCCGCTACATTTACCTTTATAAAGATACGACTCTGAGATTATATACAAAAGCCTCAAAAATTTCTGGCCGTGTCTAATCACTGGCTGCTTTAAGAAAATGCCTCAGTCATCATAGATTCAGACTTCCCACTATTTCCTGTCCCATCACTCACCCTGGGGTTTTATCGTCGAGCTCTACCGCGTTGGGTCTTTTCGTTGTTTATATAGCCCAGTGATCTGATCATCTCTGTAGTGTTTAACTCTGAGCCCCCGAAACAGCAACTAGTGCTAACAGTCCCTAACCTTTCATGGTGCTATTCCTTGGAAAACCCTTTCGGTCCCACTAGCAAAACAGAACACCTGAAAAAATTTTGATTCCGATTGACAATCACTGAAGCCGACCTCACTGGGTAAATAAGACCCCGGTTTACGCAGGAGGCTACCAGTCTTCCTAAGTTTCTGTTCTTTTTCGATGAGGAATCGCTAGCAGTTCTAACGCTCCAGACCCTTCAAATGAAGATTCTCTTACCAACGCAAATTTCTTGTATACGACCACGTGTGTTTGGACTGACAAACTCACGCCGTTGTATCCCGGTGGAGACCCTCCGCAGCTTAATTGATAGGACCCTAGGCTTGTTTTCAAACACCAGAGCTTGTGCATTGGTAGACCCTGGCTTTGCAAATTTTGGACTGTGGAATCTACCTCCAAGTGGTGGCGTCGCATTTGCTTACCTCTCGTGCGTTTTCGGCTGTTTTTTCTCATTTTTCGAAAACGTATTGTATACATAAGCTCAGATAAACTATGAATGAATGCAATCAGGCCTAGTGGGTTATCAATAAATTTAAAATTTATTAATCTTTTGTGGAAATTATGAAAAAATGTTCACAGGTATAGCAGTTAAAGAAAATAATGAAGGCAACGGCAGGCAATGAAGCACATAAATCCAATAAAGTAAGGTTAAAATGCCACTTTTATCAGTGATTCTTCTAGCGGCGCTTCCGAGGAAAGAGTCATAGACACTAGTTCCCGGAGCTAGGCACTTCAACGTACTCAGGACCGGAGCTGCGCCGAAGAACTGTGCAGCAGAAGAGTAATGCAATGAAGAGGCCAAACATCTGGAAAATGATGGGGAACGCGGGATTACAAGCAGCCACGCCGACCGGTGGATACGAAGCGGTACAACCCAGTAAACCCGTGCGTTTGCAAAGGAGAACTCGCGTAGCAACTTGACTATCCAACTCTTACGTATTGACGACATTGGTTCCCATTGTGGTGACCAAGGTTTCATCGAACTCACAACTGACGAGTCAAATAGGAGCTGGATACATGGAATAATGGCTTTATAAGAAGCCGTTTAAGGTTGAGGTGTCGAAGGAAAATCTGAACTGTTTAATGCATGTGACATTTAAGAAGGTTCAGACCTTTGTATTTAAAGAGGGTGATTACTTTTCATGTATTCCGTTTGTGTGGAGGATGTGCAAACAGAGAATAAGGCAGTAGAGGAGCAGTTTCTCCACACCAGTGGTTGCGCTTTTTCGTGTTTGGCACCTCTACCCATATAAGCGGGGATGTAGTATCCTAAACTCAGACCTCTATATCCAGATTGTCTACAATTGACACGCCACTTAAGAACACGTGCCTCAGGTCCTGGGTATTATATGGGTAAACGAAACACAACGTAGAAGAGTCAGCACAGCGTCCTACGCGAGTGTTAATGATTAGACAGATGCCACCTTAAGAACAGCTTTGTTGCCTGGCCGCCCTGGTTAGGTTAGGCTCTTTTCCACCTTGGCGGCAAATAAAAGCCCCGCAGCCATCAAAGAAGTTTCGATTGAGAGAACTGCGAGGATTATATAATCACACGATAATGGGCTTTATATCGTATCCGACGGCTTTCAAACAGGCTAGAGAGCCCAGGCAAGATTTCGGCAATTAGCGTGAAGGTGCACGCCTCCGTAGATCAACCACTTCGAGTAGTTAGTTAGTGGATGAACACGCTATCTTTTTCTCCGCCGTTCTAGTATTAGAGCCAAGCATCGTCCGCAGACACGGTGTGACTAGTCGCTGTGCTCCTTATTGAATCGTGATACCGCTGGCCACCAGGCGACCATTTTAATAGACTGGTTTTCAGTTGCAATGCAAAACTTACTTCACAAGAAGCAATCGCAAGTACGACGCCAATAAATATCCGGAATCCGTGTTGAATAGCTTCTGTGGATTTCTCATAGCATCCCTAGAATGGGAAAAATGTGTTAAAATTTTTGACAGACACATCTTGAAAACGATCAAGTTTGGACGACTACATGAACGATTTTGTGTTTGATTTACCTTCAATGAAATGCGATAAAATGTGGTTGAAAATCGGTCATTATAGTGGAAAACTTGACCAGGCGAAATTAAAACTTTGATATGAAAACGCGCTGCAGTGGACGGTCCGCGCCATCAACTAGGAATGTCGTGCCCGAACGACACTTGTCAAAATGCAAAGTTCTCTAGGCGTCGATTTTTCGCACATTAAAATTTTAAACATTCAGCGAACAAATGAAACCCCTTTCCTTCTCAAAAAATTAAAAGCACACACACGAATGGGCACAATACGAGTCGCGACCTCACCCGATGCAAAACCTCAAAACTTGATTAGCATAAGACTTACCACTGGATAAGCCATAGAGTCACAAATTTCGGTTGGCGGTGGGCAGCAAGATAGGGGAAGCGGAGCTGACCCGTAGTCTTCGCGGCTCCTCCCTCCACAACACTCGAGCTATGTGTTACAAAACACGACCATTCTTACGACATAGTTAGGCATGTCAAAATAGGTAAATTTGGATGTCGAGGTATAAGCAGACAAAAAGGTAAGAGTGAATATAACACCCCATTTCATTTTTTCGGGCGATATTCTTAAAAAAACCTTGCACAGTTCATGAACCACGATTCGCAGGATCGGCGGCCACCAGCAGAGAAATCGCATCGCATTTACGCGTGATGTTTACTTGGTAACACAGGTAAGTAGCTGGAGCCGAGGCGTGATGGCCTACCTTTTTGAGGAAACTATTGTAAATGAACACTAAGTAGTAAATCATAAGCAGCGGCATGAATTTTTGAATGGTCGCAAATGGAGATATCCAAGAAACATTGCACATATACTAAGTGCTCGATTTCTCGCAGAACAAGCCGTAGCCAAGGACATGGTCAAATTCTGGTGGAGTAAATTATCTAAGTATTATTTTACGGCATATTCCATTCTAATCCATAATACATTCTTTTTCCACATTTGAGCATCACAAATGCTGGACATTGTATGCGATGGATTTGTCAAATATTCCAATGAGAAAAACGACGCTCGTAATTGAAAGAGGTATCAACACCTTCAAGAGGTGAAGTGGGTTCAAATCACTGGTTACAACATTTCCAAGCTCGAACTTTCGTTCGAAGGACATTGGTGCTTTTAATTCGTAGGTCATTTTAGAAACAATCAAGACACAACGTATCAGTATAAAAATTTATTCCCTAAAGCAACCTTTACAAGTTAAATTTAATAACTGACAATTAGAACATGGGTAGTAATTATCAGGCCTTATTAAGATGACATGTCCTTATCACTCCAAAATAAATAAATTTTTTGTGATGGACAGAGACTGGCCAAGAACCATCGAGGCCAATTTCAAAAACTCTCAGAGTGACATCAGTGGTTAAAAGATGATGAGAATGTTGCTCATTATTTGCCTGCAACAAAAACTGACATAATTCATGGTCTGATTTTTATAAAAGTTGCGTTGAAGAAACAGGGACACCAGGATAACCATCAGCAAAACGAAAATTACGAAGCAGCACACTAACTTTTATTTACAGAAAAAGACTACGAGGGAACTATACCTAAATCAAATATTGGGTGGCGCATTTTAGCCGAATGGTTTGCGTTGCAGATTCTTAACCATTGTAAAATTGACTTTGCTAATAAGTAGGAATATCTCATAGACAGATTCGACAATAAGTCGCTTTTTAATCGGAAGTCGATAATTAAAATGAAGAATTTGAATTTTGCAATTGGAAAAGGCTTACAGAGAAATTAAACAAAACAATACGGTCAGAGGATCGCGAAAGCGAGGTGAATTCAAAATAATACCTTTCTCTTGGTGTTAACCGGAGTGCCGTAGACAACTGCGAAAACGGAATTCAAGTGGGTCGACCGGATTACATTAATCAAAGACATAATAATCAACAAAATTAGAAACCCAAATTTATTCAACTGAACGAACAAATAGTGGGTGACAAGTAGTCAACTGTATGCCTGTTTAGTATGACAATGGAAAGTAAAGCATCGCAAGTGAGCAAGAAGTAAAACGAACCACTGACTATAACTTACAGTGAATTGGAATGCATCGCGATCGACGATTTTCTGGGCTTCAAATTCGGCACTCACCGAGTCCTTGAACCAGCTGTTAATAACATTTTTAACAGCTCGAACAATTTTCTCCTCGGTCTAATAGGATAAAATAATAACTTGTAACAAAAAAATCGACAAACCTCCTCTAGATATAATACGCTTAATATACCAACGGCCACCTGAACACACAAAATTACTGCAAGGCACGTAAAATAAGTGCTGATTAGACAAGATGATTCGTAGTAAGTTCCACAGCATCCGATGATAGCAACAATAACCGTTAATAATCCCACGGAAATTAGAACATAAATTAAATTTTGCATCTCATACAGGAATCCAGAAGCGTGAAAAATAGCCTGAAGTTGCGGCTCCATGTAGCTGAACAAAGAAAAGCCAAGGATCCCAATACCAAAAATCTAAAAAAAGAACAAAACAATCATGCATTTATTCTATGGTAGTACAGTCAAACATATACCTGTTTTATTAGAAATGTTTACCAATTTGTAACAAACTAAATGTTTTACATCAAAAGAAGACAAAGCCTCACAAACGATTTATACTTAAATTTGTCACGAATTAAATGGTAAGGCAAAACAGGTATTATGTGAATGATTTACAAATTTATCGGAAACAGGAAATACTTACCAACAAGATTACGTTAAAAACCATAAGAACGCAAATCAAACATTTTCGAAACCATGATTTGGACATTGGTAATCAAAAAAAGAGAATACGTCCAAAAGAGGTGTGGTGCGGTGTGGTGTGGCGTCGGATTAGGGCGCAGACATGTTGGACCACCTGGCCTCAGCCAATCCCGTGTCTCTCTGCGATCCAATGGCATGCGGGAATGGAGGGCAGCCAACCAGAGCAGGACATGGATGAGCTGCAGTATATAATGAGCGGCGAGGCCAGCGTGGTGGACTCGGATGGAAG